CGGTCGAACTATTGAGGCATAAACAGAAAATATGCAGATGATATCAGAATATTTTTTATATGAGGAAATTAAACATGATGATAAAGATGCCGTTACATTTCAATTACATGTTTAGTTGTAAGGCAATATATCCCTGCATTCAAACATCACACTGTGATATTCAGATGCGTCTCAGCTTATCATGATTTACTGAAAATATATGATACTTACGAGAAGAACCCAACGCTTCAACCAGGAAGACAGTTAGAACGAAAAATACAACCAAAGTCCGCATAGTCTTGGATCCTAGAATTAAAAAAAAAACCATTTCTCTCAATAATTAGTATCTTCAAATATCATTTCCAGTTTATTCCAAAACACAAAAATTCTCAAAGACTTAATTTTGTTCTTGCACAAAATGATAAACACCCTGCATACCGTATTGTTTCCTATGAGACAGAGACATTAAAAATGTATGTTTCGCTTCGTATTATCTCAAATATATTTATTTTACTTTTATTTAGTTTTTTTTTTTAAACATATATTGACAGAAATTTGCTTATTAAAAGTAAGGATACAATTTTGAATAAAGGAACAAACAGTTTTTTTTCTTCAGAATGAAACCCACGACCTCAATGACAATTTATCATAATGGAAGCTCCTGTATTGATACATCTAGTTCTCATTATGTGATTACACCTTGTAAATTTGCATACAAGCATAAAACATTATAAGCATTTTATAACACACTTGTTCTGAGTATTGAATCATTTTTAAATATTATTTTGCTGAATAAAGTGTTTTTTTCTTCCATTTTTGTAAAATTAGCCTTACCAAATCAGTTATCTCCCTTTACATACCACCTGTACAATTAACTTCATCATAAAGGTTACATTTCTTTTATACCTCTTATTTTGCCTTGTTAAGGTCAGATGAGGAGACTATTGACCTTTTTAAATGAGGGTCATCTAGAGTTACCGGAAGTCCAGGGTCTAAACACAGGGCGGATTCCAAGAAAAGCAGGTCACTGGCACTACTGAGCCAGTATCAGCTCTGCTTCGTATTATTTCACTCAATTACTCTCCCCCTCATTTTTTGTTAAATATAAATGATTGAAAAAAATAAGATTTAAACTGTGTAAAAAAATGTTAATCTCAATTTAAATTGTTCATGTAACTGTATGAAAATATACTCTTTGAAAATCTCTGTACAAGACAGAAGAAATTACTACATGTGGATCTAATCATATTTCAAAAAATTGAGTATATTTCAATGAGAACCATGAACATGAATGTAACAAACACTAATCGTGCTAAAAAGTCCACTGAAACAATTTAAACCAGGAGCATATCAAACACAGGGCTCTTAACTCTTCAGAAGTGGGATCAGGTGCCATGGAGGAGTAAGCATTCCCTATCAACCGGACACACCCGTCGTGATTCCTTGTTGCCATCAGGTGAACGAAAGACAGTTCATTTTGAAAATAATGACATTAGAAATTGTATGAAAAACGTTAGTCAACATTCATGCAGCTTATGATTTCAATCCCAGAAATAGAAATTTGACATGTTCAGTAATAAGTTCTGTAAAATGATGATGATATAATTTGAACATTTATTGATAGGCCAAATAATTTTGCAATAGAAATTGAGAAAGAGCTTAAATCAAACAACCAAGCTCTATCATAAACGTGATGAGTTTAACTTTCTTTCGTCAATTTCACTTACTTATGTAGCAATATACCTTCATCATCTGCATATGGAAATAATATATCTCAGTTGATTCGATATCCAAGAATATGCTCTACGTATGAAAAATTTCTATGACGAGGTAAATTATTGACAAACAAGTTGATGAAACAATGGTATCAGCAGACTCGTTTAAAATCATCGTTTTGTAAGTTCTAAACAATGATCTTGTCAGCAAATGAAATTTATTGAGTCATACTAATTGTTGATGCATCATTTATACGCTGAATTGACGACAGATTTCTCCTTTTTTTCCCCAATCATGACAAGGACCACACGGCGGGTGTGACAGGTCGGCAGGGGATGCGCACTCCTCCATGGCACCTGATCCCACCTCCGATCTTTTGGAGGTCCGTGTTTGCTCCAATTTTTTTATTGTTGTAAGGACTTTTGATCTTGAATACAGTTTCTTATCTCCATATGCTTTATTCTAAGATCTCACTTAGTAGTCATTCTCGCTTTGAAAAATATTAAACTTAGAATAAACAAGTGTTATCTTTGTTCCACATAGATCATGTAGGTAGATGGATATTATTAATAATAATTTATCTCATTATGTTTGGGCTTCAGGGACAAATTAAAAAAAAAAAAGATATATTATTTGTAGGATGTAAATGTCATATCCTGTATTTCTGACCTACATATAGGTAAATTATTGTTGAAATTGATATATATGTAAATAGGAAAATAATGCTTACATGAGAACTAAGTGAAACATTTTTGACTTTGTTGAATATTTTATGCAGTGAAGGTCAATCTTCAATTCTTTTGTTCAGTGTACATGTATATAGATGTATTGTTTCATTTCATTATTGCTTTTTAAAGAGGTCATCAGAAGAGGTTGTGAATTGAACATAGGGTATTTTTTTAAATTAATTTGTTTATCTCGATACACTGATTTAATTTTCAAGAATTCTTATTTTAAAATAGCCTAACTTTTAAATAAATCCCCAAGACATATAAATATTTTCTTCTTATTACGTACGTCTTCTTTCAACTCATCTTACTAATAACTATGGACACGGAAAACTTAAAAACTTAAAAAAATTTATTCGTAAAAATCTGTTAGCTATTTCAAATTCCCGTGTATAGACATGTCCTTTATGATAAATAATGACTTAGTACTATATCATTCTTAAGCACTAGAGTGTCATAGAAAGTAGCTAGATTCTTTTAACTGCTAATGAAAAAAAAAACTGCAGGGGATTTCTTTTCAGTTTTCTAATTCATCGCTTTAGTGGTCAGCAAATATGTTGACCTTTACGTGTTGTTTTGATAAATTAGATACAGACACGTTTGTTTAAAATTAAAAAAAAATGTATTGATTCTTAACGTTTAAGTGTAAAATGTGTTTGTTTAGTGAACGATGTATTTAAAATTAAAAAAAAAAAGTATTGGTGTTTTCTTACCACTGATTTTGATGATAAGACTGATTAACGTTTAAGTGTAAAATGTGTTTGTTAAGTGAACGATGTGTTTAAAATTTTCAAAAATAAGTATTGATGTTTTCTTACCAGTGATTTTGATGATAAGACTGATTAACGTTAAAGTGTAAAATGTTTTTGTTTAGTGAACGATGTGTTTAAAATTTTTAAAAAAGTAATGATGTTTTCTTACCAGTGATTTTGATGATAAGACTGATTAACGTTTAAGTGTAAAATGTGTTTGTTTAGTGAACGATGTATTTAAAATTAAAAAAAAAGTATTGGTGTTTTCTTACCAGTGATTTTGATGATAAGACTGATTAACGTTTAAGTGTGAGATAAAAGTAGAAATACTTACTTACAGATTTTTTCATTTTGTTAATTTATTGAAAAATGATTTTACTGGTGTCTATAAACGATTGAAAATACAGGACATTCGTTTGGTTCATTTTAGTAAAAGGGTTTTTTTTTTTAGATTTTCAAATTCATGTGCCTAAATTGAACTTTTATAACTTATTTGTAAAAATCTTGAAAATGGCATCTCGTAATAACCGAGGAGCATTAATGTAGCTGCGTTACTAAAATTCCACAGGGCAAGTATTATTATTTGTCGTGAATTTTGTGAAATTGGGGAATATGTTATAATTATAGTATAATTCAAAGTGATACATTTTTGAAATATTTAACATTGTTTAAAGTGCATGTATTTAAAATTGACTTGTAATTGCACTTTAATTATACTTTCAAAAAATCTTTATTGCATTATCGAATTATGCACATACAATTTTTCGTTTTAATCGGTAACACAGCATAAAAAAATGAACTAGTCAATCTATTGATTTAGTTTCGTGTAAAATCGTTTTAATTTTTACAGAAAAAGCATACTTATGTAAATTTTTAAAAATCATCAAACCGACAACAAAACCAATATAATATGCACTTTTGAGCATATTATTTTACATTTTCTGTAAAAGTTTCCATCATTAGCTACAAAAATAAAAACGTAGTTCCAGTACATGGTTCCAGTGGTTCCTAGCGAAGTAAAATATGTTGGACATGGTATATGATTGTGCATGTTGGATTTCATAGTAGAACACTCCGGGAAAACATAATATTAAGTCATTTTTAAAAAATTATCCAAAGTTTTTAGTATCCTTAAAGAAATTGATTTCCTTATCTTGAGAACCTTGGGCCTCTTAAATTCACTAGATCTTTCACGCACGACATTGCCATCTATGACATCAATGTAATTATGAATGAAAACCCGGCTATCATGTATAACCTTCCGCGTTATCATCGAGGTTGCTCTAGTTGTGATATATTAGGCAAGTGATTAGGCGTTAAGAACACGTGGTACAATATCTTGAGGACTACATTCTGCAACATAAAACCAAATATATATCTATAATGTTTGTCAAACTTCTTTATTTTGAGGATTACGTATTTCATTGATGTCGTCCTTAACATTCATGAATTTGATTCTGACTAATGCCTTGTTTTTAATATAAACAAAGCGAATATTTGAGAGATATATTTTTCAATCTCTCTCTCTCTCTCTCTCTCTCTCTCTCTCTCTCTCTCTCTCTCTCTCTCCTGTAAAACAAGCAGCAAACTTCATTAAAAAGTTTCTCACTCACGAAAGTACCTTAATTCGAAAGAAGACTTCGACAAATAATTCAAAACCAGAATATAAACAAAAGTTCAGAGATTATTAACAATAGAAATATTCAAGAATTGAAGTTGGTGACCTTAAATGCTGATTTTATTTCGTTAAATAACACGCTGATCACGAAATAGCTTCAGACTTCAAGGCAAGACTTAATGTCTTATCATTCATCTAAGATACATCATGATCTCACAGAAAATCGTAATATAAAATAGACATAGCATTATACACCCATAGGTCAGTTTGACAAAATGCAGACGTTCGCAGTATTCGTTTTCTTCCTTGCCGTAAGTCTTTTCAGAATTTTTTAAAAATTTTATTATAGGAAATAGCACTTCTGTTTTAAATAAAGTTTTTTCTTGCAAAATCAATTTTTTTTGTAAGCAAAAATAGTGTTTGTGAAATAATTCTGATGTTTCCCATTATTTTTAGATTAACTATGTTCTCTGTGAACAAGTTATGTATGACCAGAAGCATGTAAGTATAATTTACTGATTTAGAATTTAGAATATTATTCAATTGAGAATAATCTTAAACCATGCGTAAAATTTGAAATATATTCATTTTTGATACTGTATCTCTTCCAATTGAAACGTTTTATAAATGTTATTATAAATATATCTACAACCTATTATAATGATAAGGTAGACATGGTAGATTCCTCGACTACCATGTACCTCTATTGTACTAAGACCCGCCTAATCTATTCGTCATCTTTGTACATAAAAGAACATGCAATTATAAAACAGGCTCGATTTTGCTGTAATTGAGTTTAAAAATTCATTTTAAAAATGCAGTTTTATTCAACATGTTCTCATTATGTCTTTATGCATTGTTCTTAAATGTGAAATTTGAAAGAATATTTTCAGAACTGTTAACATTTAACACAATCTTTTTAGCATAAAGCCATCATTTATCGACCCGGAACCGGATGTTACGAGTATCATTTGAACCACCAGGAGACCCTGGATTCTTATGACGATGCTCTCAGACCAGGCCTGGAGGTAAATTAATTATTAACTGCATCTTTAATTTTCTAGTGCACGTTGAAAAACAAAAGACATAAGATTTTTTAAAAGAATAAACTAGGAAGACAGCTAACAGTAAGCATGTACATGTACATAAGTTTATTTGAACAATACAAATTAGGAGCAAAACATGTAGACACCTCTAAATTTGTCAGAGGTCAGATCAGGAGCCATGAAGGAGTAAGCATCCTTTGTCGCATCACACCCGTCGTGTGCTCATCGCCATGATGGAAGAAACGGGAAAATCCGTTTTCTATGAAGTTTGACAATAATAGCCTAACAATGAATATGAAAAAGTCAGTCTGCATTCAACTTAAAGACAGATCATTTCTGATATCTCTTCCAGATTAAAATGATAGAGAAACTAAACTGTAGCAACGACATCCACGAAGTCGGCCATCACAGCATAGACCACCTCACCACAGAAATCCGCAACGCATGCGCCTCAGTACCTGTTTACAGATTCGATCAGACCGGGTCTGGGTGTACTACTGGAGGTACATCTGATATGCCATCAACATCTGATATGCCATCAACTGCTCCCAGTTCATCTATGCCATAAACCTATGTTTGAAGTCGCAGTTTTGCCAGGATAAATCAAGAAGACTTTATGGAGTTACTCTTTATCATGTTCATTGTGTTATAATATAAAAAACAGTTGAATGTCTTATCTTGTTCGAATACATGTATTAAATAATATTCTTTTTATATATCCAGACTGTTATTATAACGTAATTATGATGGTGCGTCAGACATTGAATTTGTAAGACTGTAATATGAAGGGGTAAACAGTATTAAGGACAGATGATACAAACAAATTTTATCTTTGGAGGAGATTTGATATCATGTCACAAGTTTAGAAAAGTGGATAATTCCTAGAATTTTTTCTCCTAAGAATTGGAAAATGAAATAGAGTTGGAAAATATTACTAATATTTCAATTAAATTATAAAAATGGATAAAACACACTCAGTAAAGGTTTACAGATGAGAATAAGTTTCAGAATGTATTAACTTGGTGTTAAAAGTGTAATATAAACCTGAGAAAAATATACCAAGCCAGTTGAATTTTATGAGGAAATGCAAACTGGTAAAAATCAGCTCATATATTATAGGGTGATTTTTACTATTTTGCATTTCCTCATAAAATTAACCTGGATCGGTATCTATTTCTAAACTTTATATAACACTTTTATCACCAAGTTAACATATTCTGAAATTTGTTTTCACCTGTAAACCTTTACTGAGTGTGATTTGCCAAATATTTGTTTTTATTGAAATATTAGTAATATTTTACAAGTTTATTTCATTTTCCAGTTTTTAGGAGGAAACATTCTAAGAATTATCAACTTTTCTAAACTTGTGACATGATATTAAGTCTCCTCCAAAGATAAAATTTGTTTGTATCATCTGTCCTTAAAGCTCAAATTCCATTTAAACAAAACAAATCAGGGCAAAGCAAACACTGACCTCTAAAACATCAAATCTTCAAGACAACAGGTTGAGATCAGAGGAAATAATTAATATACTCTTAAAGACAAGTATCACTGATTAATATAACTAATATATTATAGCACGAATTATTTATAAAAATAAGTACAGAAAATAAACAAAAAAAGTAATCTACGAATAAATAAATATGTTAATTCCTTGAGTGTTATGTAATACTTGTAGAAAAAAAAAACATACTTTTATTTTGTTTTTTCCAAAAGTTAAGAAACAACTATCACATAAAGTAGCGGAAAATGATGCCATAATAAATATTTTTAAAACTATGCCTTCTATAAGGATGTGGAGATAACGAACAGTATTCAATATCAAAGTCAATAGATCTGAAATTACAGACAACTGCTTCTTCAATAAAAAGTGTAAGCTGAAAATATTCCTATCTTGTCAACAACAAAATCTGTTGTTTAGAACACTCTTCTTTTAAATTCTAGTACTCTTAAGTTGATAATAAACGGATATTTGAGTTCCTAATTGATAACACTTATGCGGTCTTCGGTTACCAGAACTTCTAAAAAAGGGTCTAGAGACTCCCTTGTACACTAATATATTGCCTTTTTTTTTTAGCTGACATGTTTTATATTCCTATGAAACAGAATTTACTTGAAGAAAATATTGAGTTAGTGAACTTGTCCAGAACATATCTCCAACAGGATATTTTTTTAAAACAAGACAGACAACTGTTAGAAAAGTTGGCGTTAAAGATATGTTAACAATCTACGTGAAACATGCGGAAATAACAAACAATCTTCAGGATCAAAAGGCCATAAAACATTACAAAATAAGAGCAGAGCAAAAACGGACCTTCAAAACATCGGAGGTGGGATCAGATGTAATGGAAGAGTGAGCATTCCCTGCAGACCGGACACGCCCGCTGTGTGCTCTGTCATGATCGGGAAATACCAGAAAAATCTGTCGTCAATTCAGTGTATAAATAATGGATTAACAATAAGTTTGAAAAACATTAATCAGCATTTGACTCGATGATAAATTGTATTTGCTGACAAGGTCCTTGTATCGGCCATAGGCCTTGCAAAATTATAACTTTAAATGAGATTGCTGATTTTCTTGTATAACTTGGTTTTTAAATAATTCACCTCGTTTTAGAATTGTTCATACATAGAGCATATTTTGGCATATTGAATTAACTGTAATGTATATAAACCCCGTATATGGTTGGAGTCAGTATTCTGTAAATTCTGTGGTCTTTATAAGGGCGTTTTGAGCAAATATAAACTATCATTTGATCGTTTTGTTTTGTTTTGCTGCCTTGTTTCCTAACAAATCATTAGGGATTTGTTTCTATAGTAAATTTGAAAACAGAACTTTTCGTCTACCAGATCAATACAAAGGGCTCACAACGGAAGGGACCAATCTACAGGGGATGTTTTTACCTCGTTGGCACCTGATCCTTCCTCTGTAAATTTCAGGTGTTTGCGTTTTATATCCACCTCACAGACTTGTATTGTTGATAAAGATCAATCAATGTTTTTTTTTATTTATTTTTACCTTCATTAGTGTATAATCCTATTAACCTGATCCCATGTCTGGAATTTCTGGGATTCATTCCTTGATCACCGAATTGTAGTAGTTTTCGTGAGATTGGTCTGTATTCGATATCTTCACCTTTTTAATTATAAAGTATAAAATAGCCGTGCATTTAGATCTCACTCAATTAAAAAAAAATATCAAACAAATTTAAAAGTTCATGAGAATTTTGAAATTCTGCATCTAATTTACGCCATCTCTAACATCTCTAAAATATGCTGAAATAACAATTAACAATATTAATGGCTTTTTCCATTCTTATTTCGATACAATACATCCCGGTCAGCTTGAGATGATAGATACCACAGAGTCTGACACATCTGATTCATATTTGGGAATTATACTTGAAAAGACGTTAATGGTAATCTAACAACCAAGTTCCAGGATAAATTGAATTACTTTTTAACATTTCAATCGTCAAAATCCCTTACTTTTGTAGCAATACTCCTTCATCACCTGCATACGGAGTTCATTACCTCAGTTATTTCGATACGCAAGAGTATACATTACGTATAATTTTTTTAAACGAGGTAAGTTATTGACAAACAAGTTGCTCAAACAAACATATCTGCAGTCTTCTTTAAAGTCATCATTTCGTAAGCTCTACGGTCGATACCATGACCTTTTCAGCAAATTCAATTTATCATTGAGTCTAATGCTGGCTGACGTTTTTCATACTAATTGTCAGTCCATTATTTATTCATGCACTGAATTGACGACAAAATTCTCCGTTATTTCCTGATCATGACAAGGAGCACACGGTGGGTGTGACCAGTCGGCAGGGAATGCTCACTCCTCCATGTTACCTGATCCCACCTCTGATGTTTTGGATGTCCGTGTTTGCTCTGCTCCTATATTTTATTGTTTTATGGATTTTTGATCTTGACTACTGTTCATTGTTACCGTATTCCATCAGGCCTCAGTTCATAAACTTAAAACAGAATTTGTGGTAATGCAACAAACTTTATGTTTTCCTTTTTTATTATATATTTGTATAAAATATAGTAAAAATCATTCGAGACTAGTTGTAGATCAAATTGGTGATTCAAGGGCTTATAATTAAGTTTAATAACTAATCAAGGAACTGTTTCGGTTTTTATAAGACAGAACTAAGCGTCTTATCATTTTCGTGTGACACCCTTTGCTCTCATGGACAAATATACTGATTATAAATTTAACATATCATTTCATCATTACCTCACTTCGTCAGAATGCAGACATTGACAGCCCTCGCACTACTGCTTGCGGTAAGGGTTAATAATGTTATAAAAGTATATCCGATTTTTTATATCAAATAAATGGAAGTAGAAGATTTTGAAAATTCAATTGCAAAAAATTAATAAATAAATAAATAAAAATACTTTTTTTAATCGCATTGAAAGAATTTCATCACGGTTGGTTTTCTATAGGTGAACTACGTTCTTTGTGAACAAGTTTTGTACGACAGGAAACATGTAAGTACATTGTAATAAAAACTTGGAATGTTTGTTAATATTTAACATTACAAGTATTTAAAAAAATGTTGCTCTTCTAAAATTTTTATATTTACTCACTGAATGAATTGAACGTTTTTTCCGATTTTTTCACAATTTAGACTAAATGATGAGTCAATGAATCTTCAAGAAAACATTTTGCATAATTCACAGTTCTCCGACGGGGAATTTTACGTCAAACTATCAATATGAACACAGTGTTATTCATTTTAGCATAGAGCCATCATTGTACGGCCAGGAACAGGATGTTACGAGTATCACATGAACCACCAGGAGTCGCAAGATTCTAATGATGATGCTCTCAGACCAGCTCTCGAGGTAAATTACTTTATACTTTGAATTCATGCATCTTCTAAAAACTCCGATGCACTGCACTCAATTGTGAAACCATACTATTAAAACAAAGCTCTCACTTCCATATCTTGTGTTTGTAAAGGAGTTTTTAAATCGTTTCTCATTGATTGAAATCAAACAAATTATTTATGTGAAGAAAATGAACAGTAAATTGTGCTTCAAAGTTTAAAAATTACAAACCAAAAGCAAAACATGTACACCCCCTCCCCCCGAACGATTGGGTAAAAGGAAAAAACATAGAAAAACTCCTAAAAAAATAAAGCCATTACAATTTGCATAAAGTAAATTCATTTGCATTCGTAAACGTTAGACCAAAACGTCAGAAAATTGTCAAGATTGTGTAATTAATATTTCATTCTAAAATGTAATTCACGTGGCGCAGTGATAAGGGACTTACTTTTGAATCATGGAATAAGGAATTGGTCCTTATCTGGCTAGTTTACATCCCTTATAGAGGAACCTGAGACCGGTCCTTCGGAAAAAAAGTTATTAACCGAGATCCCGTGTTGCAGTAAATACCGACACGAAAAAGATTTCTCCTTTCTCCCTGGTCCTTGGTCTTAGGTGCCGAATATAGATTTATCTAAATATAAACATATACCGGCAGGTAGTTGCGTCTCTATATGAATATAAAAATTATCGAAAAGACGTTTAACAAAAAGGACAAAACAAATTTACAAATCATATATTGAAATGCGGCTTTTCTTCGTTTTTGATGCATGATTTTGGTTAAAGTAATCAACCATAATTAAGGGCGAGGTTTGCAAACAAGTTAGAATCATTTCATTTTTAGATGACGAACATGATAAAACAAATACAGTTGTTATTAGTATTTTTAGTCTAGCACGGCAAGTTAAGTCGTTAAAAACAGTTATACTCATTTGAATATATTTTTGTGAGAAAAAAAAAATCCTGTTTTATTTTTGTTGACTCTCTTTTCAATTACATTTCCATTTCCTTTTTTTCTTTTTTATTAATAAAAATAACCTCATAAAAATTTTAAAATATAGATATTTGCAACGCTTCCTCCCATGAATATGGGTATGGAATTGTATTAAGAATTAAAATTATTCTTAATTTGTTTAAAAGTTAAAAGATTAAACATTTCGTGCTTGCTATCTCTTCCAGACTAAGATGATCGATAAACTAAACTGTAGCACAGATATCCATGAAGTCGGCCATCACAGCATTGACCACCTCACCTCAGAGATCAAGACCGCGTGTTCTACCGTACCTGTATACGGATTCGATCAGACCGGATGTGTCTCTTCATCTTCCATGCCAATCATTTCCGGTTCCCCTCTTTCAAGTGCAATGCCATGAGCGTGTCTTGACTGGACATGTTGAGGAGTGTTTCAACATCCTGTAAAGCGTATTTGTTTGAGTGATTGTTGAGGATTATATATCTATAAGCTGTATTTCTTTAAAAGAATAATAAATAGTGTTTTTATTTTTTTCTACGTTATCTAAAATTTCAGAATGAGAAATGTTTTTGTCTCCCAGTAATAAATCACTCTACACAAAATACTAGTAAAAACGACTTATAAATTCAGAGGTTTGAGAAATTTCTATTTTCCGGTTTCTTGGAGTTCAACTTGTGTTTAAAATCTTCTTCAGAATTTTCTATGAATTTTTTTTATGATGTTATGGGTCAGAATTACCCGAAATGCCAGCAAAGATCAATAACACAATTTAAACTTAACAATAATTTATTTACAGTAATATATAATAAATATATCAAACATAAAGTACAAACTTAGCAAGAATCTTAAAATACATACATCAGAGTGTCCGTTGCTGCACACAATGTCCCAGTGAAAATATATCCCATTTATATCTCAATAGTGCTTATACGACAAAGTATAGTATCTCTATGCATCGAATTGACAGGGTATTTATACAGTAATATAAATCTAGAATATTCTAGAAATTGTTAAAACATGATATTACTGGAACAATCTGGACATACAAAATTTAAGAATGTTCTTGATAAAATGACCGAACATGTTGACCACTCTGGAATGTTCAAGAAACTTAATGTCACTAATTATATACATAATGAAACAATACACATCTCACAACAATGGGTAGAGAAATAAATGAATGAAAACTTGAATGTAACGAACATATTTATTCACAACACATGACATAAACAAAGCCTCAATAAAATACTTAATACCAAAGGTGGGATCAGATACAGAGGAGGGGTATGTTACAACGCGAAATGTAATAACAAAGCAACATGTAATAAACCGGGATTCTTACATTTTATGTTATTACATTTTGCGTTGATCTTGACACAAAATGTAATAACTAAAATGTAATAATCTTGGTTTATTACATTTCGCATCATAACAGGGGTAAGATTACATCTCTCTGAAATTGTACGGATGATGATAATAAAAATCGAAAAAAAAAATTGAAACAAATTAAATTTGATTTAAATCTAATAAACATTGATTTACTATATTGAAAACTTTGGAACTTTGATTTACTATAAAGAAAACTTTAGAACTTTGATTTTCTCTATAGTGAAAACTTTCGAACTTTGATTTACTATAGTGAAAACTTTGAAACTTTAAATTACTATAGTGAAAACTTTGGAACTTTGATTTATTATAGTAAAAACTTTGATTGATTTTTCTATAGTTAACCATAGTAAACTATACTTAATTATCCTTTACTATAGAATTTTTTATTAGGGACGAAATCACATTGATCACGATGTGACTGTTTTATGACATAACTGAACATTTCATTAACCCCCTTCCCCGCAGTCATGCATTTTAACGCATATACCATTTCCTGTTTCTAACGCAAAATCATGCATACTGTAAAATCACATATTTTCGAGGGGTCAAACTTTCGTGGTTTGAAGAAAATATATTGGTTCATGGGGATTTGATTTCGTAATGAAGAATTATACAGTAGTTATATTATATATCCCCCCCCAACGAAAATTAGTGATTTCACAGTATACTCTTTTCCCCGCAATCATGCATTTTTCACACACTTTCGAAAATATAATTATTTAATCTTCAATTTAAGGACAATTACCTCCCATTTTATACTTGCTAAAATCTCATAAAATAAGAAGTTATAATCTTATAAGATATTACGTCTTTATATTATTTACGCATAACTTTAGAGAAACTTGTACCGCGCTAGAAAGTGCTTGCGGGGAGAAGGAACGTCATATTTCTATGACGTGAACATTGAGTCCTTCGTACACAATAACGTAGTCCACAGTCCCACACAATAATGTAGTCCACAGACCCACACAATAATGTAGTCCACAGTCCCACACAATAATGTAGTCCACAGTCCCACACAATAATGTAGTCCACAGTCCCACACAATAATGTAGTCCGCAGTCCCACACAATAATGTAGTCCACAGAATTATTGCGTGCACTAAAGATACGTTTTTAAAATTTACATCGTTAGAATTGTAGTTTATAGTATTTCAGTTCGCAAAAATATTCTTATTTTGCATATCTCAAAATAAAAGAAAACAAAATTTAAATAAATAAAAACATTCAAACAAAAAAATAATACAAATGTAATGATAAGATAAGCAAAATTTAAAACAAAATTTTAAAAAAGCTCAGACTATCACAAAAGCTATAAAAAATCATTAAAAAAATTAAAATTTCAATCATAAGTGTTTTAATCAGTAATTCTTAACAACAGTATTTAGATCATCACCCATAAACTTTCATTTTTACACACTGTCCAATTTCACAATTAACTTACTTTCAAACTATTTTAATTAATATTAAAATAGGCGTGTGGTGTATATTATTCGTCAAGACAATATACTAGTACTTGATGTGAATATTCATAAATTATAATATGTAATATTTCAAAACATATATTTTAAATTAAGATGACTTCTTATACAGAAATATTATGCCATATCATTCCTTGACCTTATAAGCCCTGACATGCTTTGTACGAGACATAACATTGCGTCCTGTAAATAGATCAGTGAGACCTTGATTTATGTCACGTTCAGATTAAAATAAATGCTGAAAAAGAATCATTATTTGCATTTATTTCTTCACCCTAAAAAGTTCATTTTCTTTTTTAGAAAATTAAAATGTTATTAAAAGAAGTTGCAGCTGTGACTTGTATTTGTAAAAAAAATTTCAACAAGGAAAAGGTAAAAACAAAATATTCAAAAAATAAATGAATAAATAAAGTAAAAATGGAAGTTTTGTGTTTCGCACAATTAAATATACTCGTTATAGATCATTCTGATTCTAAGCTAAAGTACACTAAGGATAATGTCCAACAAAAACTTGTATTCCTCCGACACAGTTTGGCAGCCCTCTCCACAGACCTTTAAAATCATATTATGGACACTGTTTATCACGAAATATATTTAAATATTATCGAATTTTTTGTAATTACAAAAATTCAACAATGGTTTATAAATATAATCATTTGTACCATCTTCAGCAGACTCGTTGAAAGTCATTATTTCGTAAGTTCTTTGGTCGATATAATGACCTTGTCAGCAAATACATTCTATTATAAGGTCAAAAGCTGACAGACTTTTCATACTGATTGTTAGGCCAATTTTCAAAGATTTGTCCACGAATTTTCCTGGGATTTCCCAAGCAGACAGCGGGTGTGACCGGTTGACAAGGGATGCTCACTCCTCCATGGCACTTGATCCCACCTCTGATGTCCTAGAGGCCCGTGTTTGCTCTGCTCCTATTTTGGATTGTTTAATGACTTTTTAGCTCGAATTATGTTTGCTTTCTCCACATATTTCATTATACTTCTTAGTGAACTCAAAAAAATTATATTTTCTGATTGAGGGTTTAATAGCTTAGGCTAAATAAGAAATGGATTGACTAGATTTTCCACCATCACTTTTCCCTATTTACAATGTACGTAGAATGTTAAGGTATATCTTACTCTAAATGTACATCATTTTATGGCGTTGATGTTTTTAAAAAATTCAAAAGCTCGTTCTGTCCATAACCAATTTTAAAACTAAGTAAGACTTTTGGCTAATTCATCACTGTTGTCATAAGATTCTTAGTTTTACAACTTACTAAGAATTTTTTTTTTTTTTGGAAAATAACTTTTTTATTCAAGAAAACAAACAAAATATGTGAATTTAACCAAACAACTGAAATCAGGGGTTTGAAATTCATTGATTATGATTTAAAAGTTAATTACTACACGTATTGATTTTAAGCATGAAACATATTGAATACTGTTCGTCATTTTCATATAAAATTAATATATCTTAAAGTCTGACAAACCTGTTTCATATTTGGATATTTAACTGGAAATAGACGTTAATTTTAATCTAACATTAAACTTAAGCTGAAGGATAACCATTGTGACTTGAACTCTTCAATCGTCAACTTCTCTTACTTCTGCAGCAATATATATACCTTTATTATCTGTATACAGGGTTTATTCTCCCAGTCGATTCGGTATGCAATAGCATGCTCTACGTGTGAACAATATCTAAAACAAGGTAAGTGATTGACAAAGATGAAACAAAGATATTAAGTCCTCATTTCGTTATGTTCTAATGTAATGGTCGATACGAGTCATAAAATACTATTTTTAATTTCGTTTTTGGTACTAATTATTAAGCTATCATTGTCGACGGATTCTGCCGTTGCTTCCCGATCACGACAATGAGCACACACCGGGTGTGAACGGTCGGCAGGGAATGCTCATGGTACATGATCCCATCTTTAATGTTTTAGAGACCCGTGTTTACTCTGCTCCTGCTTTGTATTACTTGAATGGACTTTTGATCCTTAAATACTATTCGTAATCTCCATACATTTCATTTGATACTCTTACTTCAATTCTAAACACTAAATCCTCCCCTCTTTTTTTAATTTTAAAGCATTACAAAATGTTTTCAATTACTCGCAGAGTAACCTTCATTAACCATTTACACTGCAATGTTATATCTTTTCAAATACATTATACTAAATCAGATTATGATTTCTGATGTCATTTATTTCTTTAAAATTATAGGATACTAGGAAAAATTATACAAGAAAAGCTCAAGTGTAATATTTATTTAAGAAACAGATGTATATAAAACATGTAAATTGTAACAAGATTTTTTGTACAATTTACAAAACTAGTTCAAAATAAATACATTGCATTTGTACACGCTGTAAGCACATATACTTCTTTAAAGCTTATAAATCTAGAATAATTTCCCTCGTAACTGGATTATTTCCCCTTGATGACACGTTTTCTTTTAAATATGACTTAAAAATATGCATTAAAATTTTCATTCAGTTATAAAATTTCAGAATGATAACATTGTCTGTAGTCAATCTTTATAAATATTTAGATAATGTTTCACTATTATAAGCAACACTACTTTGATTATAAATCAGGTTCCACCATAAATGTACTGGCATATATATTTGATGACAAACTTATTGGCATGTGTATGTGGTAACAGAGTAAATGAATTATATACACTTCCTGAATAATCAGACTGTCTAACTCTTCCTTTTGGTACAGTCTGAGTCCAAAGTCTGTGTTTTATTTGTAAAATCAGTTCCATATCTCTCATCAACTTGAAGTTTGGTTATGGAAAAATGTTTTTAAACTTTATGAATAATGATCCATTTAATGACTTGCATCAACTATAAGTAATCAGTTTAAAAATTTAAATGTTTCCAGGTCAATTTAAATATGTATTTACCTATCTTTATATTTATTTCTATGGCAAACAAAGTATAAGGATCTAATAATGGTTTTCAGCAATAGGAGCTCTTTGTCTAAGTAGATAAAGCTAATAAATACAAAGTCCAAAAACACTTAATCCAAAAAAGATTATAACAATATTTCATGATTATTTGTATTCCATTTATTACTTTTCATTTTTGTGAATCTTCTGTAATAAGAAAAATGGAGCAAGGTTTCATGAAATGAGCATTTTTCAAACTAGAGGTTTTTTTAAAGTACCCTTTGATTGAGGCCCATAGTGTTCAATGAACCTTTTTACTAGAACATATATTTTCCACTTGTTTAAAATTCAGAGAAAGCGTGCCTTTGTGTAAATATTCTTAACTGTCATGGTTAATTAATATCTTTACACAATGCAACTTCCACAATTTGCAAGCAACAGTTTATAACAATACAAAGTCATTTTCAGAAAAAAATAGTATAAAAATACAAAAATAATGGTTATCTTAGGATATGTTACGAATGTATGAAAGACAATGTTGGATCATTTCAGGATTTTTTTCCAAATAGGTTTTTCTTTTGGTCCACCAGGCTTTTTGTCGAGTCTTTTGTTAAATCCTGAAAAAAATATATTTAAGAAAATATTAACCTAAACGTCTTGTTCAATGTAATAGCAACAAAAGTATGGAATTCTCAACTTTGTTTTTAACATACACTGAAACCAAATCTGTTTTCAAGGGATGGTATTTCATATTGAATGAGATGTTAAAAATTCTTGCTTGCAATGATTTTTATTAACTGGTGAGATGTTATTAACCTTAATTTAGATACTCAGTAAATTTTAACTATTTTTCTAGAGATGTTATTGTTCTTGCTTGGGGTAAATTTTTTCAATGGTGAGATGAAATGATTTTAAACTCTTTTCTTTCAAAAGCAATATAGGTCAATACGATTTTTTACTGGTGAGATGTTATAAACCTTAATTTAGGTGAATTTTAAATCTTTTACTGGCATGAAAAAAATCCCTCCCTGCTCAATGGCTCTGGGTGCCAAGCATAGGACAAAATTTGTAGCTCTCCATTGGCAAGTGGTGAGGTCTCCATATGTGTAAAAATCCTCAAGAGGGGCGTTAAACAGAATAATCAATTAATCAATCTATCCAAAAAAAAAAAAAAAAAAATCTTTACCTGGGATATGACTGGTGTCTGTCCCCAGGTCTAAAAAATAAAAATAATGATAAATGAATCAGATATAAATTGTCATTTTTTGGTGTTGTTGACTACTATACTACAATTAACTTCTTTTATATCATTTATTCTAAGTAAAATACATAACAATAAATTCAAATTATCATAGTATTTAATCTAAGTATTGATTGTACTCAACTATTATTACACTTGGAAGTTGTAGTACAGTACAGTTAACTATGATTACGTTTTATCTTATCTTTAAGAACGTAAAATATTTGTAGTTTACATTTTAAAAGACAAGATAAAACAAAATCTTGCAATGTATACGGTTTATAAAGCACGTTTACATACAGATCGACAAGTAACCTTTAACAATAATAAATTCATTTTTTAAAATACATTTTAAAAAATATATCAATATTTATTTCCTGGTTTTCTTTTAAGCAAAAAATGGAATTATTTTTTATGCCGTTTTTGTGAATACTCACAGATATTTGCTCTAAAATGACGTCATAATGAGGCGATATGAACGTTGATAATAAGGTACATATTTAGGATAGCGGTAAACTAAAACTTTGAGTGTATCTTTTAAGGTTTCAAAATACTTAACCCATGGTCTCAAGTGACTACGTGACAGGTTTGCATGAATAACACACCAACAACAACAACAAAAAAACAAAAACAAAAAACTAAAGACAAAAACATTCTAAACACAACATCCATATAAAGGAAATCGCACTCAGAGAGTAGACGGTGTGATTGCACGTGATGACATGACATGAAATGAGTGTTAATCTTTATATGTGCTAGCCAAAGAATCTTAATCTGTCTATAGTACGACTGGAATTTCTATTCAAATAGCTATCATTTGTTCTGAGAAACAGTAAATAATTTTTAGATAGTTTTTAAATTCAAAATAAAAGAATAGCAGATTAAAACTCTTGGCCATGATTTTGAAGAGAAATTCACAAAGTGTTAAACACCAAAATCATGCAGTAAAAGACTTTAAAATAAAAACAGATGAAAAGTTTCGTAAACTTTGCTTTAATAGTTATCTGATACTTTATATAAAATATAATTTTCAAAATTTCAGAAAGACAACAGACCCGTAGCAACGTTTTTCTCAAAGTAAATGCATTTGTGTTGCCCAAAAACCTAACAAAACTCATTTCCAGGGTAGATGTCAGGTGGTTGTTTGGGCTCCAACTAAATACATTGTAGTTTTTTTTCTAATTTTGCTACTGCTCTACCATTGTACTTTTTTCCCTAATTTTGCTACTGCTCTACCATAGCAATAAATAACTAGTATTGCATTAAAAGACTGTTCTTGGAAAACGTACTACGGGCCTGAAGATCTTATTCTGATACCAAACACGAATCAGATTGTTTTTTTCTGATTCAGATAGTGAAGCATTGACTAGAACTTCTAGCATCTCTCTGTGTTCTCCCCTACACTATCATTTTCTTTACAGTGTTACCATGGTTACGCTAGTAAGAAGCAGAGAAACCACACAACGGTAAGTAATGGCATTCAAGCGTCTAACTTACACGGATCCTATTCTTCACCACGTTTGTAGGTATAACATGCAGTTCTAATTAGAAAATTTTACAGAGCTATCAAAAAGACGTTGAAACAAGTTTTTTTTTCTTCAAATAAATACTGTTGATCATGGTACCAAGAATTTTCATCCGCTATTTATATTATACATGAAAGAAGAATACAGTAATTACATCATATAACATTCCTTTCCATATTTCAAAGAGTAGATATACCTTTATGTGTAAACAGATAAAAAAGAAACAGGACGATTAATTCTTTATGTAGTTACTTACACCATGTGCTATGGGTTGTTAGACCTGCATTTCACATACATGTCAAAATTCAGGACTCACGTGATCAGAATAGCATTTTATGCACAGCCTTAATATTCATATCATTCTGAAGTATTTTTAATTAAAAAACAGTAAAAACACCAAATACAAAAAAAAATGTTAAAAAAGATCATAAGATCTGGACATCCTTTTAGATCATTTTAGTGTTATGAGTTAAAGATCAATTATGTTTTATGGTTATCATTTTTGGATTCTTTGAACCATTTCATGCAAATGACATTAAAAACATTAATATTTTTTCATTATAAAATAACTTACATGCACACAATTTTGATTTATAAAAGACGAAAACTGAAATGAGCAATTTATTGTTAGATTGCCTTTTATGTCTGCTTCAGTCTTTTCATTAGCCATTTAAATACCTTTGTTTATAGCTGTTCATTTACCATTTCTTTGGCTGTTTGAAACCATTTTCCTAACTTATAAGATTACATTTGTCTGTTTTGTTTTCTTGGGTTAATTTTTACTTTTTTCAGTTTTTTGATTAGTATCTTTTCTTTGTCAGTTTGATAAATTTTTTTGAAAATGTTCTACCAAAAAACAATTAGCAGAATATCAAAGGACTATATATTATTGTTATTTTCTGTTATTCATATCATATGCTTCTAATACTACAAAAAAGGTTTAAAACGTGTATTATATTCTTTATAAACTGAAATACTGCTTTCAGTAAAGATTTGTATGTATCCACTAACCCTCATTGTTGCTCCCGATGTTTAACTGTAATATACAAAGAAATCCATATTTAATATAAATAACTAAGCTTAGTGGAAAGACAAATATTGCACAATTGAAAAAATATATACATGTATATAATTATAATGATAAAAAAATTAAACATTGCCAAAAAACGCTGTTCAGTTTATATGTCATCAAGAAATCTTGATGAGAGTTCAACAAAATATTGATAAATCTTGACATTATTGTACTCTTTTCTATTTTATCAATACATAGTTTGAACATAGTTTATTACCTTGTCTTTGATATTGTGCTTCAAGTTGGACAATTTGTTGTTACCTGGCAAGAAAAAGAAGTTGAAGTAGTCTTGATAAATATTTAAGGAAGTAAACTTTTGTTGATATATCACCGCGAAGCGGTTTATGAAAAAGCGTAAACTGCCCCAAGTTATGTTATATCGTATAACATAAGTTGAAATAAGCTTCATTCAATATAGACAATGAGACAATTTTTCCATTTTTTCCTTCAGAAAAAGGCTTCAAATACAGCAAATTTTAAAAGTTAACGTCAAGCGGAGTAATACGTTTTTTACGTAACTCATTGTGACGTATGCAAGTTATGTTATACAAAATGGATAAAACCGTTTAACCAATCATATGACGTGTTACAACTAAAATCAAATTATTTGTGGATAATGCTGAGTAACTCGTTGGTATACTTATATTTGTAGGAGAGAGAGATTTGTTGTTACCCTGAGAAAAACTCATTATTTTACAACAGGGCACAATTAAATTATCAAAATATAACTATAAGTATCACAAGATTATCTTCATAACACCCCCTTCCAATGTTAAGGATTTTGAATAAATAATTTTGGAGGTTTGTTCTAGATAAGAGTCAAATATTAAATAGATAAGTAAACAAAAGGAAATATTATTGGTTGTAGAAAGTATAATTCATTGCATGTAAAACATGCAAAAACACTTATTACAGCCTAAAGCATGGAAAAGACCCCCATCCCTAAAACAAAGGTCAAAAAGTCCAAAAAAGAGTTTAAATTTTATGAATAAGAATACAATAGAAGTATATGAAAGAGGATACATGTATCTATTTTTTTTAATCATATGTAGAAACAGTGAAAAGAGACCGTGCAAATTGATTGAGAAAAGGTTAAATCTTGTAATACATGTACATGTAATACCAAGGGAATTATACACAATTTACTATTGAAAACAAGCTAATTTGTTCAATGTGTAAATATACCAGTAAGGGCTTTTATTGGTATGCCTGTAAAGTCAGATGCTGAATAACGTTTTTCATACTAATTTATAAGCCATTATTTACACAATGAATTGTCGATGGACATCTCCGTTATTTCCTAATCATGACAAGGAGCAAACGGCAGATGTGACCGGTCGGCAGGGGATGCTCACTCCTCCATGGCACCTGATCTCACCTCCGATGTTTTGGAGGTTCGTGTTTGTTGTACTCCTATTTTGTATTGTTTTATGGACTTTGGATCTTGAATACTGTTCGTTATCTCCATATCCTTCTTGCAAATTTGTTTCCAAGCAAAAGAAATGTATAAATAAATATTGTTCATTACTAGTAAATCCAAATTTCAGGATTCAGACATATGTTCATCATATGCTTCAAACACATTTATAAAGTATATCAAATCTTATACGTGCTAAACAATTCAAATATCTATATATATAAACAGTAAGGATTTGAATGTGAACCTATGTTCAAATTCAGTTGCTCATCTTTCATTATAAACATATTCAGAGAGATGTAAAAATGTAATGTAGTTTTACCAGTGCGAGTTTAATGTGAAAACAGTAAACAAATAATGTCATATCATGCAGATGTTGTTTAAAGGACATTTATCAAGTAAAAATTTAGTACACTTCAGAGAATCAAAAACCATATATTTTAAGTATCTGTGTAGTCTACTTGTGTGCCAAATCACAGACAAAAACTGTAGAAGGAGTTCAAAAATCCAGAAAATTCTAAAGTATTTTATAGCAAAATTGAATGGTAAAAAACCGATCAAAATTGGTATCTTAGTATTATTGTGTGCCAAGTTATTAATATTTCTTTTAAAGGAATTTTACAGAAAATTCTATTTTTAGTAACCATGGCAACAGCATTTAAAAAAAAACCGCTTTTTGTGTATCTTAATCTTCCCAAGTTATATTGAAATCAAACAAAAACATTGTTTAAAAATTCTTTTTTAGTTCACACTGTTCATTGAAATCAAAAATCGTTATTTCATTTCTTAAGAGAGTGTGCCAAGTTAAAGCAAATCACATTAAAATTTTCCCAAATTTAAGCCGCAGGTAATATAAATGTAAAGCAATTAGTAATAAATTTAGAAAATATTATTTGCATTTAAACTAAGCAAATTTAATAAACAAAAAAATTAAGGCGTTTTGCATGTGTTCAGAAAAAGGAGAAGTGCAATCAGGCATTTATACATGTACATAGGAGAAGAGATAATGAAATTTGAATTCTTGTCATCAGAGAGACAGTGACGGTAAGTGATAATTGTGATGTAAATGTGAAATGTGACGTGTATGTAAATTTATTGCTACATTTACACTTTTACTAAAACATTTTTGGAAATCACGGGCAAACCTTTAAAAAGTCCAGCTGAAATAAATATTTCATCAAAATTGAAAGAACATAAATCAAAATCGGTACGGAGTATTTGTCCAACTGATTAATATTTCTTTTGATTAGAGATTTTTTTCTAAAATTTGGTTAAAATTATTGTTAATTAGTTCACACTGTTCAACAACTGTTATTTTATTTCAAGAGAGTGTTTAAAGAAAATCAAATTAAAATCCTATCTAAACGTAAGCCACAGGTACAGACAAACAGTTAGTATAAGAAATATTATTTAAATTCAAGCTAAGCCATTTAATCAACAAAAAAACTATACATGTATATATATATATACATAAAGAAGAGATAAAGGAATTTGAATTCTCGTCAACAGAGAGAGTGATGGTAAGCTACCTGTGTGGTGATTACTGTTGATGTGATGTGTATGTAAATGTATTGCTACATTAACACATTTACTACAAACTTTATGGAAATGGAAAAGAAAATAACGTTTTACTTTTTTAAGAGACAGAAAAATTGAATATTTTTAATTTTTTTAATTCCTAAAGAAAGCATTTTACTGCCCTTCAGAGATATATTTGTATTTTACATCTAAGATCTACAAAACTAAATGTGATATACATATAAATTATACTAAAGCGGTATTGGTTTAACTCCAGCAAATGGACAGTTTAGCATAAATGCATTGCAAGCTACATAAGGCTAAACTTCATTTTTGTATGGCGAATTTTGAAGCTGTACTGAATAAACTGGTACCTCTTTTGGTAGGGGCGGTATAATCCATGTCTATTTCAACATAGTCTGATAAAAAAGATTGTTTAGTTCACCACATGTAATGTTAATTTATATTGAATATTTCAGATATCAATTCACCACATGTAATGTTAATTTATGCTCAATATTTCAGACATCAATTCCTTATAATCCTTATCTTTTTTCATATGCCATTATGTGTGGATAACAAACAATAAAGTTTTAATAATGAAAAAGCTTAAAATAAAAACAAGGATCTCATTACGTTTGTGGAAAACCACTACATTTGTTCTCTTAATACTTTTAATCTTAAATTTAGTCATTTTTCAGTATCAAGATTATAAGCTTGATTTTGATGATAAATTCTACACTTGATGAATCTTGAAAAACAATGTAATAAATGCTAAATTATTTATTAAGAAGAAATTAATATAATTCAAATAAACATGATAAATGTCAGATGGGTCTTAAACTGGCAAATTCACAAGAAATCTTGAAGATTTTTGTAAGAGTGTGTTAATCTCTGGGTCTGACAATGCAAAACGTAACAAAGATTTTGAACAAGCTGTTAGCACACTGTTGAATTCAACAACAATTGTGTCTTCATGTCTGTAGCTAAGTGCTTAAACTAGCAGTTCTAGGTTGTATAAAAAAAACTGACTTGGGCAAGCAACTTCATTTGTATCACCAAATTAAGCATGCTTTCAGGAAGACGTTCAAGGTCATTCCAGGTCAAAACTTACTCGTTTTTCTCCGGCTAAGACCTAGAGTATTATTTATTTATTGTAAGTACTGCGTAAAAATTAACAATGAGTTTTAATACTGCAATCATGTTATAGCCCATCAGTGTGTACTTTTTAGTGTGTGTTGTGAAATAATTTATAAATGCTGACAATTTTTGTCACCTGAAAATGAAAAAGTTAGCCCAGCTTTGATTAAATTTTTCTTTTACAGCAATATTTGAATGCAATGATAAAAAAAATTGTGTGGCATAAGAAAAACAAAACATACGTGTATCATTTGATTGGGTTGTGTATGTAACTTTTTCACAGTACTTCACTACAAAAGGACAGAACCTTGGTAGAATATACGTCAAAGTTTTTGTGTTAATTCAGGCAATACTTTTTGTTAGTATTTACAAAAGCATTTAATTGGCATGTTTTTGATATATTTTTTTTTCAATATATACATCCCATTTGCTATAATAAATAGTACACAAACAAATACATGTATATATTTCACATACATTAGGATGAGTTTCCTTTTAATGAAAGGTCACATGATTTAATACTATACATATTAAAATCAATTTTACTGGGTCTCATGCTTTTTAACTTACCACAAACTTGAAACCAAAATTTTATATAGATGAATTAAGAATGTATTGGATAATATATCTCAGTCAATGTAGACTGAATTCAACAATTAAAACAAATCGTCTTTATCAACAAATATAGTTCTACGCTGAACTCTATAATAACATATATATTGTGTAATAACATATTGATACAAATCAATTTTAAAATTTATTTTAGAAAAAAAATGTAATGGGCCATATGGACATAACAGATTTCTCTTGTCTAATCTTAGTCTCATTAGAAGTGTATATATACATCTTGTGCACAATGCCTCACAACTCCAATGCACGACATCTTCCTATAAAATCATCAGTGGTAAATTGATTGTTATTTTTTTAAGTGCTAAAGATACTACAACACTTCAACACAGGTTACATATGGTGATGAATGTTAAAGCTATACACACATATATACACAACTAATTCTATGAGTAAAACTGGTAAATATAAAGAGGTTGCTTGTCTTTCTTCTAAATTAAACTTACCAGATTTCCTTTCTAATGTAGTGAGACCGTGAATGGTATGAGGTTGCAGCTGGGCTTTCTGTTCCTCTTCTTTGTACCCTCTGTTTGGAATGGGTGGGGCAAAGGCAGAGTCCTGTATCAAACAAGAGAGGGTTAAAGCTATCAATCCTAATATTGTGTATTTACAAAGCAAACTTCACAAGAACTGTGAACAATAGTATTATTCTCCTGCCTACCTCCAAGTCAATTTTCAAAAGTTAACATATTCGGTGATTTTTTTAATATTTTTTTATAGATAATTATACGAAACATTACTTATTTGGGAAAACACTGAGAGATAACTCTAAAATTTTGGTAAAGCTTGTGTTTTTCACTATAGAAATCAATGGAAAATATTTTTAAAACGTCTTTCCACCCATCCCCCCACCCCCTGTGACACAAAAATTCCTTTTTACTTATTTTCCACCAATTTCAAAGCGATTTACAACTGAAACATTATATTTTATTAATATATTTATGTTTTATTTATTTGCCTAAAACATGAGAAAAGATATAAGGAACATTTAATCCTATCCAAGATTATTTCAAAATATGGTGATAACTGAAAGTCCCATTTCAATGGAAAATGAATGGGCAGGGCAAAGGCCGAGTCCTTTTTCAAGAGCTGGAGTTAATGGGCGGGGCATAATTTCCTATTTATCGTTAATATTAAGACAATTCATCAATTACCATTGAACTGTTCTTTGTATTTAACAAAGATTTTATGGCCAAAATGACATTTATATTGATTTAAATGGTTGCAAAATGTAAGCGGGAATCAAGAGTTAGCGTGCATATTTCTTTGGTGGCTTTGACGAAAACAATGATGTGCTCATTCATGAACCCTGTTTTGAAATCATTTATAAATACAATACACGGCATGGACAACTGTAGCATTAATTCAAGATTATGCTCCTAACTCCATACCTAGTGACTACGCTAAATTTTAAAGAAGTCAATTTATGTACATGTACAGTAAATCTGTGCAAAGAAACAGATGATGGCAAAGTGTGAAAAAATAGGGGTAAAAATTTCCTTCTGTACAGTGATAAATGAATACAGAATAATGGTTGTGGCTTACCATACATCTAGGGTCTACCTCTGAAAGAGAAGAGTAACATACTGAATTAGAAGTTTTTTCAGGCTTAATGAATTCTAAAGCAGCTGATAAAAATAATTTTCATGATACATTTTTCTAATTGCTTAAATTTTTTTAACTCTGAATTTTTTTAAATTTTGGTATATAAAATATTTATTTTAATTTGCTTTTATTATCTTAAATAATTTTTACAATTTATCTTTCAAATCTAAAATTGTCAATAGCTTGTTTTATTTTGGTTTATAAATTGCTCAGTCTTAGCTTTAAACCTCTACAGAACTCTACGCACCTGAGTAAACACTACTCTTCATAGAGGCCCCGATCTTAGAGTCACTGCTTCTTTTGGAGTAGCTCTCCCCCGTGATGGTCTCATACGTGCTGTCAATAGGACCGGAAGTCGGTCCAAAACTCCGAGAAAACGTGGCCGACTTGTTGACTTGAGAATAAACAGCCGGTTCATGAGAACTCCTTGTGGGACTATCAGGCATTGGTTTGGCTTTATCATAAAAGTCATCATTGGCTAAAGGTAGATCATTAGAGTTACGGGAAGGATTAACAGCACTAGGGGGTTTTCCTTCCATGATTTCATTATTAACGTAAGAAATCCTGGGGTTACTGCTAACTGTTATCACAGTCTTGTTTTTGGGACCTGTGCTTGTTTGTCTGTGAGTGACCTTTGGCTTGCTGGAATCAGAGCCCTCAAACACTGGCCCTGCAGGCTGCTGTGAAAACTGTGGCCCTGATTTAGCATTATTGGATTCTTGATGATCAGAACTTCTATTGACTGGGGATTCAAACTGGGGACCTGCCCTAGAACTAACTTGAGGTGGAAAAGAAGTACTATGATTTGAAGACACATCAAACTGAGGTCCTGCTTTGGAGGAAAGGGACTGGTGAAATACAGGGCCTGATGGTTTATTATTGACAAACTGAGGTCCGGCTTTCCCAGAATCTACAAAAACAGGACCAGAGCCAACAGTCTTTAGAGGTTCCTCAGGTTTTGGAATGGGTTTCTCTTTTCTGGGAATTTTGGGACTTTTTTCTTCACGATGGAATGTAAGATGATCTGCCTTGTTCATGTTTTCATATTTCCCATCATCACAAATGTTTTCATACCCAGTTGGGGTCCCCCCTTCTTTTGGATCTGGTGTAAACACTGGTTTGGGTTTAAGTTCGGGTCTCGGGCCTGAGGATCTTCGAGGACCACACTCTGCTGCTTTCTGTAGGTCCTGCAGTGCCTCCTCTAAAGCCTCCGGGGTTGAGTACATGTCTACCGTCTGTAACGCGTCCCTCTCTAAGATGGACACAACACTGGATTGCCTGGGTGATTCGCTGACCTTAAAGGCGGGTTCATTCTGACCCATTCCTACCATTTCATAAGGGTCTACTTCCCTATCTGAAGAATAAAATTTTAATGCATATATTTCTTTATCTACAGCTCTCATGTTTTGTGTTGTATATAATTTTGTCTACAATCAAAAACTTGTGTAATCTGTTGTCTTTTTTTACCTATTGACAATTGATTTTTTTAAATAATATGCATTTCCCATTTGACTTGTTTTTCTTTTTTTCACTTTATTTTACAAATTCTATTTTAGATAGAAAAATTTCCAGTTTATTATAATACTAGGTAATATTGTATAAGAACTCACTGGGGTCTGTGTGGCCATCTAGCTCCACATTATAATACTCATCCTTCAAAAACAACAATGTAATCAAAATTCTAAGCTCAGGAGGATGTATTTTTTGGAAGGGGTGGGAGTTAAAAATGTAATCATGTAGATTTGCATGGTTGCAAAACACATCCATCCCCAAACATCATTTGGAGGATTTCTCAAATTAAAAAGATTATTTTCCAAAGACTTTCCAAGTGCTTATTTTTTGCATACATTTTTTTCTAAAATTCCCTCAATTGGTACAATAAATTGATACTATGGATTGTTTAACTTTATATATTGTCTTACATTTCCAGGTTGTGGTTCAAAGTTGGCGTAGATATTTCCATCCAGTGCCTCTATATGCTGCTGAAATAGTTCCCTGACACAGCGATGGGCCATCTCATACTGGTCCTAGGGAATGTTAAAATCATGTTTAAAATTGCAAAATAAATGACAAAATAAATGACAAAAAAAATTTACGTTAAATAAAAAGAAATCATTTTTAATCATTTTTTCTTTGTGTTTTTTTTATAATATTTCAAATCTTTCAATAATCCTTATTTGCAGCATTAACCTGTGTATTGGACTGAATGCTACTCACTGGAGTCTGAATCATGGATTGCCTCTGTTCTCTCATTTTCTTCACGATTTCATTCAAATTAAAATCACAGTCTAACTTCTGGGAAAATCAAAGAAAAATACGTTAAACATTCTCTTATTCTTTAAATTTATAAAATCTTTCAGTTTTTGAATACTGTAATTTATTTCAATTCCACGGTGAAAAAATTTCATGATATCTCAAAAAGTACCAATTGTGATGGTTTTAATTTCATGCTGTAAGAAATTAATTCAAAATTTCGTATCATTTAAATGTTTTTTTAAAATCAAATAATAACTTTCAGGACCGGTTTAATTTCACAGAAAAATGATAAATCAAGAACATAGCGAATTTAAAACCACATGATTATTTCCCAATCTACAGTATCCTATTTTTTAAACTTATGTAATCAACCTAATGATAAATACTGTAATTCAATGTAATATTTTACACTGTACAGTAGAACTCGGTTTTAACAAAGTCACTGGGAACAGTGAAATTACTTTGCAATATCCGTAATTTGCTATATCCGTGTTTGTATTAAACAAGTTTTACTGTATCTTTAAAAACTGAAGGGTTTTTAGTTAATTACATGCATGTTTCAAATTCTGAAAAAAAAATATAATTAGAATACAAAGTAATTCTTAATCAAAAAACATTTCTACAGAATCAATAGAAAATTTACCCTTCATTTGAGTAAAATTCGATAAAAAACCTACCCCACATTTAAGAACGTCCCATGCGTAATCTACAGCACAGATAGTTCCCGTTCTGCCACATCCAGCACTGAAATCAAAAACGTACAGATAAAATAGAATTATTATGATAAACGTACAGTAAAATCAGAATAAATAAAACAGTACATTAGAAGGTTATGTTAAATATTAAGCCGTAGAATCAAATGGTCAATTGCAAATTAGACAATTTTTGAATTTCTTGTCCCAATTAGCTAATTTCAGCACATGCATTGCTAAAGTTTCAAAAAGCAAGTGCCACTTTGGGCCTTATTTGGACCTGAGAATTTCTGAAAAACCAAAACTGCTCAGTTTAGGTTGCAAATGCAGTATTTATCACTTGTAATGTTGTTGACCACGTATCCATTAATCGTGATGTAATTTCCCATCTGTATTATGACGTCATAAAATGCAACATTTTTCCTCATATCCTGTAAATTCCTTTCACTTTGAAAATGACCTAAAGTTGAAGCATTTTTTCAATATTTCATATAGAGCACAACCTCTGATCCAATATATGCAAATACAATGTACATAATGAAAGCTCAGTTTCTGAAGATAAAAAAATATGTTTATTTTTTGGATCGTGGGCTGTGCTAATATTTTAATTCTTTGCTGAATGTAGTCAAATACACGTTTTCTGCAAATTTCAAGAACATTGCAATTTCTCAAACCTTTTTTCCAATATCTGGATTCTCAAAACAAAATTGTATTGTAGGAAGTGAAAGCACCAAGTGTCTAGTACTTTATTTTTATATATAATAAATGGGAAAGATGGTGAAAATTAATTAATTGATATAAATACAGGGCCATTTTATGCATAAGATGGCTCTTGCTCTTTCATGAACTTAAGTCTTTATTAAGATCTTGCAGATTTAGGGTTATTTGTTGCTTATGAAAGCAATGTTTTAATTCAATATTCAACTTTTTCTACAGAACCTGCAATGTACGACAACGGGAGCAAAGTTTTTGTCGTGGGATCGGATTTCTCTCATTTTGGCGATCATAGTCAGGATGACATCAATATCGTCGGGAATTCCGTGGTCGGGCCAGCCCGTGTATTGGAACTGAGTGACGATACGACGATCTGGGTCACCACTGCGCTTCACCTCTAACGTCCTCTCCACGCAATCATCTGCCAGCCAATGCTCCTCTTGCTGAAAAATCATCAGGCACAGTATTTAATAAAATCAATCAAAAGTTATCATACATGTATTTAATTGATGATTAAAACACTCAATTTCAACAAATATGATAATCCCTGTCCAGCCAGAAATCTGATTTAGGTCGGCGATGAGTTACATTTCACAAGTGTGGTAGACAAAGAGAAAACAGGGCTTTCACTCTTGATTATAATTAATTTTACAGTACGTAGGCACTACTTGTTATATTAATAACTTTATCCCAGATTTTTTTGATTTACTTTACCAAGTTTACTTTTACTATCTACTTTCATTTTGTAACAAGTTTGGGGAACTATAGCTAATAAATGGCTGCATGTTACAGTATGTTATTGTGCTTGACATCCTCCCTCCCCTATCACACATAACATTACACCACTGGCTCCAAAAATCTGTGAAACAAAGTTTAATTTGACACTCACTATGCTTCATGCAGCTGTTATTTGTTATTCACAGTTCCTGTGTATATAGGACAATATAGGACAGATTGATAGATTTCAAAATATTTAAATTTAGGGGCTCTCAAATAACTTCTTTATGTATAAACTGAAACACAGAATATATAAACCAACTATAAACAATGCTAACCCTAACATTGTGGGCAATTACAATTTATCATTGAGTCAAATGCTGACATTTTTCAAATTAATTGTTAGAGTATTATTTACTCTAGAATAAAAGACTTTCGGATTTTTCTGTTATTTCCCAATCATGAAAAGGAACAACTGCGATTGTGACCGGTTGGTAGGGGATGCTCACTGCACCTGATGTTTTGGAGGTCTGAATGTTTGTTCTGCTCCTATTTTATATTGTTTTATGGAGTTTAGAACTTGAATATTTTGAATAGTGTTCATTTTTTCCATATATTTCATTGTTCCCTATTGTGGCCCTGCATTACCATGAGTGTCATGTTTTGAACAATTTAGAATCTACGCTACCCCAGGATGCTTCCACATAAGCTTTGTCTTTTCTTGGTTATTTTCTATCTAAAGAAAACCATCCCAGTAACCAGTTACTCCATTGAAAAGGTAAACAAGTACCCGGTTACTAAAAATCAGTCGATCTGACAATACTAGTATTAACATATTACTACTGTGTTACAGTACTTTTAAGTTTGAGTAGTTTTCAATTTGACATGTTTGACAAAAACAAGTTTATATTGCAGGAAGATGTAGAAAAAAAATATGTCAACAGCAGGAAAAAATAAACTTCCTTGATATTTAATGCTAAAGTTCATATAGTTCACTTAAAAGGATTAATGTGTGCTTGAATTTTATTTATTTATTATACATGTATGTACTGCTCAATTTCAGTATGTCTCTCTTCTCTGGCCAATAACAGAACAAGAGTTGACATTGAGTTTAAGTGGTATATCTTACCAGATGTACATTAATGCTTCCATACGATTCATCTTCATTCTGACTGGAGGGCCAATACTTCGCACATTTTTTCTGGAAAAAATAATACAAATTAAACAAAAATTAAGTTTGTCAACTGTTAAGCATACACTTATGAAGTGTGAAGTTCCATGTGTAACCCAATGGTGCAGAAATAAATCTCCCACTCTACTTGTAGGTATCTTAATATTCTTTTATTTAAATCTTATAACTACAAAAATGTAAAATTTTCCTTTCTCATTCAAACAACTGAGCATTTATAACACAAAATTACATCAATCTCAGTATAGCTTGTATATATTAATAAAAGAACAATTAAGATAGAATCAATTCAAAACCAACCTGGTACCCTGAATTATATTTCAGTGAACTATTCTATTGTACACCTGTCAGTATCTAATGACCAATCAATATCTTAAACCCACCCTTTGCACCCCTTCACTAACTAGTATCTCTGCCCATTTGCAATCTTCACACTTGAACTTCTCAATATTAAAATGTGTATTTATTCCATCAATCATTATTTGTTTTACCTTGCCCATTTCCACTTCCTTACAGGCCATTAGTACGACTCGGACTTTCTGCTCCCAAATCATCCTCCAGAAATCGTCAACAGTGGTCGGGAGAGGGCCCTGGGATGCTATGTAAGCATCATTATTGTGGATGTTCTAAAAATAAATCAAAGGGAGATAATTGTGGATGTTCTAAAAATAAATCAAAGGGAGATAATTGTGGATGTTCTAAAAATAAATCAAAGGGAGATAATTGTGGATGATCTGTTAAAGAAATAAAAGGGCTACATTTATAAGGTACATGTTCCAGTACTTCCCATACCAGAAGTTCCCTAACTGTAATATCTGTTCTTATATATCCTTATTGTACCCCCTGCTTGAAGAGCAAGAGGGTATATAGTAATCATTATGTCCGTCCATCTGTTGCACTTTGGGGTACCAATCTCTTATCCACATCTCCTCTCATACCACTGAATGAAATTTGGTGAAATTTCCATAGAATCTTGATCTTTATTAGTACATAATGCCATTGTACATTCATTATACCTACCAGTATGTAGCTGTATTTACAGATTCATTACACCTACCAGTATGCAGAGCTCCAGATAATTTTTTACCCCAAAGTGTATTTACTCCCTGATTTTCAAATCAATGCAGATTTTGATTTTCAGCAAAATGAGTGTTTTGTTTATATATAAATGTGTTGACTTTTATTTTGATTTTGAGCTTGAACCGAAGTATGAGTTTTTTGAAGAGGAAAAATACTTAAAAGGTCAGTTCCTGCATTTAGATATTTCAAAAAATTTTGTAAATTCCAACAAGATTTTTTGCTTAGATATTGCGAAGCATTCTTTTTTTGACAAGGAAGATTATACAGTAGGTCAAGGTACACTGTACCATAGAGTCAGAGACACAGAAAACTTTTCCTTCATTTAAGATATCGTACCAAGAGTAAACTGAAAGAATCTTTGTTAATATGGCAAGTTGGGACTGAGAGAGATGAAAAGTATTGGCTATGAACACATATTAAAAAGATTATGCCAAGTGCATAATTTTTCTAGTACATGGAAATTGATTTTAATCTATAGTCTGTCCCACGACCGGAACGTCACTACTTTTTGCAAAATATCTCGAAATAAATAAATACCTTGGACTTCAACCTATATCCGATTGGAAGATTGATTTTTTTCCAAACTTCCTGCATTTATCCGAACCCTCGAGGTCAACCAGTGTATACACACGGCGGCAAATTCAAAGTCTACGGGGATTTAACATGGTGTAGTATCAACACCCTGGGAGCATCAAAACAGAGTTTTCAATAGATAGCACATTCTAATTATTTTTCAAAACTTTATATTTATAATATTAAAATATGTGCATGTATTTTTTTAATTAAATCTTTGTCAAATAAACAAGATTGAGTTCTAATGGTGATTTATGTACATGCATGCATATTGATGAATTAATTAGCAGAACCAGACATAAAGTAGATGAATATGCATGTTACATGGCTGTTTCAGGAAACCATTTTCTTGACCTTGCAGTTTAAATGAGAAAGTAATTTAAACTCTATTCATGAAAGGAAAACAGAAAGAACATGTCTGACATTGTCTGTATAATTTGATCAGCATAGAAAGTTAAGATAGGCTGAATCGTTTCATCTGAATCTGAGTACAGACTTGTAAATATGTACATATAACACCAGAGACAAATTCCCATAAATACTGTCATGTACATACTATGAGTTCAAATTCTCAGCCAGGTCTTCTTTAAAAAAAGTTTGATTGCCCTGTCCCAACCAACTGGCTAATGACAATTTTTTTTTTTTTTTTGTAATCTCAAGGAATCATTTTTTTTTGGGGGGGGGGGGGGGAATAAATTAATAAAATTTATATTAAATTTTCTGAGAATAATTTTATCAACTACCAGCCAACCTAATCCTGAGTTAGGAGAGGGCAAGTGAACGCTATTTTCAAGCTGCACATAGCCTCAACATCATCATCTTAACTCTAGAAGATTATCAGCTAAGTAATTGTTTTAATGAACTGCAGGCCATGATTAATAAATTATTTCTGTTTGATATACTCTGACACACATTTTTCAAGGAGGGTAGGTATAGGTAGCTTTTTTTGGCTTGATAGTATTGATCAAAGTGATATTAAAGTGTCATTGAAAAATTGCAGACTCATAAATTTATTTAATTAATGTTTATTAGTATATCAGTTTTCAATACACACTAGATAACTATAGACAGATGAAATATTAATCATTAAAAAAATTTTAACTAAAGGCATCCAAGAGAATTCAGAAATCATATACATGTACCATAGTTTTTTAAAAAATGAATCAGTCTCTATTTCTGTTTAATGAAACTAAATTTTAAAAAAAATTCAAGTTGCTTATAAAAATTGTTGGGGCATTTTGATGGGTCAGTCGGAGTACATCAAACAAAACATTTTATCCTTATTTGCTAGTATTTGTATAGCATGGTTGACTTGACCTTTGACCTACTTTACAAAGAAATACCCATAGTCATACACATCTAGGACTCCTATTCCAATCTGATGCTAGCTGGAATAATCATGTTTCTGCTATTTACGAAAAAGCTTGTAAGAGATTAAATATCTTGAGACTTTTAAAGTACACATTAGATAGAAATTCTTTAATTAAAATATATCTAGCGTTTATTAGACCGGTCCTTGAATACGCCGATGTAGTATGGGATAATTGCTCACAAGAAAATGCAGAATTGTTAGAAAAGGTCCAAGTAGAGGCCGCAAGAATTATTACTGGTCTTAGAGTAAATTCCTCAAGATCTAATCTATATGACGAACTCGGCTGGGAGCCATTATGTCAGAGAAGAACAAACCATAAACTAATATTATTTTATAAAATGTTCCATGGTATTGCCCCTAATTATATTAACGAATTATTACAGCCCTTCCAACCAGTGCAACACTCTTATAGTTTGAGATCAGATGGTAATAATCTTACTTTACCATTATGTAGAACTGTATCATACTATGAAAGTTTTATTCCTTCAACTATAAAACTGTGGAATAATCTTAGTACTGAAGTGAAAATGTCTCCTTCTTTATCGATTTTCAAGTCAAAATTAAACCAACCTTTTAGCAGTTGTAAATACTTCAACTATGGAAGCAGAAACGAGAATATACTTCACTGTCAACTACGTAACAAAGCTAGTAATCTTAATGCACACCTAAAAAATCATTATATAATAGACGATGCATCTTGTCCGAAGTGTAATTACCATACAGAAGATAATGAACACTTTTTTATGGATTGTCCAGCATATAATATTCAAAGAAATAAAGTAAGAAAAAACTTAAATGAGCTTGATGTACCTTATGATCTAAAAATTCTTTTACAAGGGAGTTCGGAGTATTCGTTCCAAACGAACTTCAATATTATAAAAAATGTACATGAATATATCAAGTTAACAAAACGTTTTTAATCATATTTTCTTTTTTGATATGCACTCTTGTCACTTTATACATGTTTATATTTATCATACTTATTTTGATCTGGATCTGTGCGAGTCAGGGTGTGGTTGCGTGTGTGAGTGAGGGTGTGTGTGTGAGTGTGTTTGAATGCGTATGTGAGCACTCATATCATAATATGAATTGTAATTATTTACTCTGTTCATTGTATTGTTACTTTGACCTGTTATATAGAGAGGGTATTTATAGGCTTAAGCCTGTTGCCCAATCTATTCAGTTTACTGAATAAATATTGTTTAAATCAAAGAAATACCCCAGTCAATTTAAATTAACTTAAGACTTTTGAGTGGCGGTGTTGATAAATTAACATTTATTCATGTTTATTAACTTATAATACTGTTCTTTGAAATTGTATGATATTCAGAAACCACACAAACTGATATCTTAAACATTACAAGATTACATTGGGATTTGGTCCCCCAAAGTTGATCAAGCAATGTGACAATTGCTTTGAAACGCATATTAACACGTTAAATGATAAAATGAATAATTGTTCATAATGATTTCAACTAAATTATTCAGTTGAGGGTTGCATACTGTATATGCCAGTAGAATAAAAATAGCTGGCCACTCATAGATTTAGATACATCTTAATAAAGAAGCTAAAAGCAAGTGACACATTTGTTCCTTAAATTGGAACACTCTAGTTTATGATGAAATTGATTTTCTGTTATACACTTTTATGACACTTTCTCTTCTTTCAGCAATATGAAGCTTGATTTAGACACTGGAATATATGGAGAGAGGCAGACCAGAAACCTTTGGCTAAAGGAAAGATAATATGCATAACAAAAGTAGTAAGTCTACTATAAAATTCAAGATATTCAAAACATCCTGTCTCTTTTAAATACAGTGGAGCCTCATTTATCCGTCCGCTTTGTTTTATGGTCAATTTGTCCGGATATGTGAAGCATCCACATATCTGAATTATCTGCTAAACAAGAAAAAATATTAAACGTTAAAAAATTTTGTTCTGATGAAAAATCATCCGGATACTGAAGCATCCAGTAATCTGGTGTTCGGATATCTGAAGGTCCACTGTACATGTATTGAGAATGAATTTTTGACGCTCTGATCACCTGATGTCTATTACAATTTTCCCGCTAAATTTTTTCAATTGTATATTATTCTCTTAGTATCCTTATATTTCTTCCCATGAACCACTGGGACAGAAAAGCTGAAACTTATGTGGAAGCATCCTGGGAGAGAGTAGATTCAAAATTGTTCATATTATGACCCGGGGAGTAGGTTGGGGCCACAATAGGGAACCAAACTTTTAAATTGAAGTACTCAGTATATAATAAGAAAATTCTATAAAAAATTTCTTCTAGGGAATTACTGGGAAAGCAAAGCTGACTCATGCAAAATCATTGTGGGGTAGTGTAGATTCTATATTGTGCAATTTATGACCCCGGGGGTAGGTTGGGGTCAGAAAAGGTATAACAAGGGGTTAATCTTGTAAAGAACTGGATGGTCAAAGCTATTCAGGTAAGCAATGTGGCTCTTGTAATATTTTTGTGTGAATTAAATGCTTTTGAAATATATGTATTAGGCCAAAATAAAAAATACCTTTGTTTCCCCTAACGCGACCGACCCAATTAGATCGCACCGACTGAAAAGATTTTTTAAATAAGATGATTCAATTATTTTTTTTATTGTTAACCAAGTTTTATAAAATACAATTTCATCAAAATCAGTTTTTATCAGAACGGCCGACATTGTTCTGCTTGTTATTTTCAAGCATTTGTTGGAAACAAAATGACGTCCAGACGTAAAAACAGGGATTTAGCTCTTCATTAAACAATGGCGACGTCTCAATCTTATGCTTTTAACAGGAATTGGAAATGGAATTCTTCACTCTTGAAACAATTCGGTAAATTACCATGTCTAATTAAGAGTGTTTCGGAGGTGTCTTGGCGTCTCCATGTGAGTGAATAAATTTTCGAAAGGGAAGTTAAACAACAAACAAACAAACCTGTCTTTGAATTTAAGGTACGTGATACATGGTAAGGCCCGCCTCATGAATAGATAAGGGGCCCACCTAGTGAACACATTCACTGCATTTTATTTAATTTGAGTTTTGATTTAATAACCAATTCATCTATGTTCCTATGTTTACTATATGCCATTACGGAACCATAGGAGTTGTTGTAAATATGTCTGCAAATTCATACTGATTAATATAATTCAGATGTCCTTTCTTTACGTTTTTTCCTGCCTTTATTAAGTGGTTAAACTTCGTGACTATGACATTGTATATAGCATTTTTATCATTTGTAGATTCAATTTGGTTCAATTAAATATTGTTAACATACTCTTTCCAAATAGTTTTGAAATCATGATTCAGCTTCCTGAGACGTTCAATAAATTTTTCTTTAATTAGGCTCTTGAAGATTGGTTGTTTCTTTGCTTTTTATCCCTTCGAGATTTGTTTGGATGACATTTCCCATTGCTCTTAATTTAGACGTACTCAGCACTTTTTTTGCCATTAAGCAGTGGGGGATCTTTTTTTTTTTGAGCCAGCATCTTCTGCGACACTGGACTTAAATTTTTATGGTCCCCTTTGAAGGACCGTTTTAAACGTTACTCATTAGGATTTGAACCTGCGATTTAAAATTAGCCATTACTTATTAACTTCAAAGCAAAATGCTTCAGAACCACAGCAAATCTCATGGCCTTAAAAAAGTACATTGATCGTCTATAAGCTCTAAAGGCTGATGGAAGATTTGAAAAAATATACTCGTATGTCTAGTCTTTGCGTATTTGAGAATCTTGTCTATTTTATTAAATTTATATGAATGTAATGGCGTGAGGTATTTCACAAGTTCAACTAAACAACAGTTGTGAATTAATTAATCATGAATTATGTTTTTAAACGGCATACAACATGTACATGTATGTAAATACTTAACATTTTGTTCACAAATCGCTTTCTTTTATACTTTTCTTATTTATAAAGGTAATTTTTCATTAAATTTTAGAATGTATTTTCAAAGCTGCTGTCAGAAAATAAAATTGTTTACCTACCTACCGACCCAACTTGAGAATTTAGGGTCGGGTTAGGGGAAACAAAGATATTTTTAATTCCGGCCTTACTCATCATATTTTACAGGATATTTGAGAAAATATAAACTTCAAATCAGTGTAAAAGCACCTTTAATAATGCACAACCTCACCATTTGAAAGAATAAACGAACCTTGATCAAAAATTTATTAATGAATGAAGCACAGAATATTTGATTATACATGTACTTTTATTACTACCGGTAACTTACAAAATGATGTTTTATAGGTTACATAATTCACAAGAGTGCAAAGTTATGATGACCATGCAGAGACAAGATACATGTACCATAACAAAGACATGCATGAAGAAGGATGTTCACTCAATTTTTCAGAATAATGTGTCAGATTGAAAGTCATCTTATGTTGGACAAAACAATCAGGACGTTCATCTGGATCACAGCTAGTAAGTAGTTATTTGAATGAAAAAGATTTTACTCTTCAGATTGGAACCTGAAAATGAGAATTAACCAAATATATGTATTTTTAATAAGTACACAATTCATGTTACTTAATATGATGAACATGATCTGAATTTTTAATGTATCTTTAAATTTCACTTTGTGCAAATTTATAAGTATTTTTTATGCACTGAATCTTTTGACAAATTAAAATGTTTTATCATCAATTTTTTCAGGCACAAATACCTGGTAGTCTGCAAATGGAGTGATCATTGGATGAGCCAGACAACACCATTTTCCTCAGAAATTTTAGGATAGAGACTAGTCACTTGGTCTCCATCTTCATTCATAGATGACGGATGTCGACATTTTCTCACTTCTGTTTCATGTCTTTACAACAAGTCATGGACTCCACACTCCAGCATCAGTGGGCGCTTGACTTTTATAAACATTTATTCCTCTGAAATTCATAAAATATCCTTTATTATAGGACATATATAACAAATTATTTATTTTGTAAAATATTTTTAAATTTTACTTCATTAATAAAACAATGGAAACAGTTCATACAAGCTGGTTCATCCTATAATCTAAAACTGTTTTATGTTTGAAGTAATTTATAATTTTACTGTTAAGATACTTAAGGATCCCTAGACAGGAAGGATAACTCTTTAATTTACAATTTAATTCATAGTCTCAAAATGAAGCTTGAACTTTCAATCTTTTTGTGCAACAATTTTCATTTTATCATGATAATATTTATTACTTCTCAATGTCCTTTAAGGTTGTTTGAAGTTCTCAGAAAGGTCCTATAAAAAGTTCCAATTTTTTGTTTTAACTTGTTTATTAAGTAAAACTAGGATAAATAGCAAAGTCAAAATTTGTTTAATCCATATAAGGAATTCATTATATTTACATATAGCTGGGGATCCAAGAAATTTTGCTCTATCCATGAACTCGCAATATCCATGTTTGTTTTAAACATTTAAGTTTTACTGACACGGTAAAAGTATTTCAAAATTACTTTGCCTATTTTATACAGTTATAATAAAATAATTCCAAAGTATTTTACAATTTTAAAAACAGTTTTCTCAATATTCTAGCACAAATAAATAATTTTTAAAGATTTTAGTCTGTATTTATTTCTTAAATATAAATTTTATTCTTAATACATACAAATTAAACAGAAATGATTTGAAATAAGAGGGCGAGTTGGGACCGTTCCTTGACAACAGGCCGAGACCGAGATATCTCAGCCCTGAGGACGAGACAGCCCTACTTCCCATTTGCTGTCTCGCCTAGTCTAAACAGGGCTGATACACTACTAGGTATATGATATAGGCGAATTAGGAGTATACAAGTTTGTGTATTGGGAAATTGTCAATGAATAAACATACTTTGAAAATTTACAAAAAAAATTTGTTGGGACTGAAAACCAAACTCAAGACATCTGCATTATTTCATACCTTGTAAAATATATCTGCGGGTACTGATGGCTTAAGTTAATATATGTAATGTACACAGCCATGTTTGTGCTTTTCCATCTTGTGTCTTCACCAGGTAGCTATTCAGTATCCTACAATAAAATATTTGTTCTAATAAATCATAAAATTAATCTGTTAAATTGTTTTAGGGAAAAAATTATATTAAAAAAATCCATAATTCTTCACACTTGCGTTATGTACTTTAATTTTGCGTGTATAGGAATATTTTAATTTTTGGTATTCTGTTATATTTGTGGGAAACAAAAATGCACATCCTGGGTCTGAGTTTACCTAACACTGATATTACAGGAAGTTTTGGAAGGGCAAGGTCAAAATTCATTGGTGACGTAGATTGATGCAGACAACAAATGTTGTCTTGCACTGGGATTTTAAAATAATATATCAACAAAGGATTTATGTGTTTAAAGCGTTGGATGTATAACAAAGTCAGGAAATATATGGCATGTGCATGTAAGGACAGCACTTGTTCACATAGAAACGATTTGAAGCTTATTTTGACCGTGTGTCACAGTTTACAACAAACTATAAGGTGTTGGATTTATATGGAAAGCTGGGAGAAACGAAGGTAAGACAGCATTTTTTATTAAAATCTTAATACTGCTGTAGTGATATAAAAGCAGTCATTCACTCGAGCTAAATTTGCAGTAACCTAGCCTTGATTTTTTTTTTTTATATATAGCAAGGTGATGATGGCAATTTACTCACCCCTTATGTTGTTTTATATGAATTGAGTCATACCTCTTTGCTTTATGCCGTGTATAACCCTTTAATGAATCTTTGATCCCTTCGGTCTCAGTCAGGGTATGAACAGATGAAAGTTTTGTTGAAGACGTAATATTTTTGCAGTGCAAATATATATCCTTGGCAGTCTCGGGCGTTATAGGTAATTCGGACGTCGATAACCATAGAGCACTCCCGAACGTGCGTGACGTCATTACCTTACTGACGGCAATGTACGGAAAATTACGAACAATGGATGATCCCCTTCCGAAGCGGTGGCCATTTTGACAATGTTAAATCCCCGTAGACTTTGAATTTGCCGCCGTGTGTATACACTGGTTGACCTCGAGGGTTCGGATAAATGCAGGAAGTTTGGAAAAAAATCAATCTACCAATCGGATATAGGTTGAAGTCCAAGGTATTTATTTATTTTGAGATATTTTGCAAAAAGTAGTGACGTTCCGGTCGTGAGACAGACTATAAATCTCCGATTTTTCTCCCGAAATGGAGATCGTCGTTGTTATTTCTAGAATATTCCTGGTCACTAAAAGGCTTTTTAATCTGTATAACTATTTCCTTTTGAGAAAAATCAAACACTGAGTTAACCTGATAATTCTTATCATTTGCTAAGTCGCACCTGTATTCTTCAATTTGCGAATGTATGATAGCTAACGCGTAATTGTATGCTCTATTTTAATTTTCAATGCGTATTTTTTAAATTTTATTTCATATTTCTGCAAATACATACCTTATCTGAAGCTATGCAGTATGTAGCTGTATTTACAAGGTAATTATACATACCAGTATTAGCTGTATCTACAGGGTAATTATACCTACCAGTATGTAGTGGTATTTACAGGGTAATTATACATACCAGTATGTAGCGGTATATAAATCTTTACAGGGTACCGTAATTATACCTACCAGTATGTAGCTGTATTTACAAGGTAATTATACTTACCAGTATGTAGCGGTATTTACAAGGTAATTATACTTACCAGTATGTAGCTGTATTTACAGGGTAATTATACTTACCAGTATGTAGCTGTATTTATAGAGTAATTATACCTACCAGTATGTAGCTGTATTTATAGAGTAATTATACCTACCAGTATGTAGCTGTATTTATAGAGTCATTATACCTACCAGTATGTAGCTGTTACTGAGTAATTATACCTACCAGTATGTAGCTGTATTTACAGGGTAATTATACCTACCAGTATGTAACTGCATTTACAAGGTAATTATACTTACCAGTATGTAGCTGTGTTTACAGGGTAATTATACCTACCAGTATGTAGCTGTATTTACAGGGTAATTATACCTACCAGTATGTAGCTGTGTTTACAAGGTAATTATACTTACCAGTATGTAGCTGGCATTTATGTAATCTGATCCTTCTTCTCCCTCAATTTCTTCAAGAGTGACCCGACTGTCATCAACTGCAAAAAAAAAAATTACTATTTCACACAAAACTTTTCTATGCTACATGAAGTTTTTGCTCTGTCAGTACATCAGAACAACTTCATCTGCCTCTGAGTCAGTAATTTTCCTGGTATTTCTGTAACTTACATGGTATAATATCTCTACGATATCTCTGTATGAATCATATGGTATAATATTTCTATATAGATCTACATGATTTACATGGTATATTTATATCTCTCTGATATCTCTATATGACTTGCATCAGTTGCATGGTATAATATCTATATCATATCCCTTTATGACTTACATGGTACGATATCTCTATATCGGTTCTTCTTGGTGTTGTAGGGCTGTTTTCCCCAGTTTGCGGGAAATGTATCTTGTTCTTTATGAAGAGCAGCGAGCTCTCTCAGTTCCTGTAAAACAAAATCCACATTAAACACACTTAATATTCAGTATTTACTTTCAGTTTCAAATTGATACTTGCTTCACAGGATTAAAATAAACTCAGATTTATCACTTTTATAGAGTACTCATAGGATTGCCAACTTCCAATTTTTGTTGCTTATAAAATAGGCCAGAACATGTGGAAAGCATTGGAGACATCTACATGTTCTTGCCTATTTTATGAGCAGCAAAAGTTTTGAAGTGGGTAATTCATGTGCCTGCATGGCTGCTGTTTAACATTGGAGACAATATATATACTTGTGTGAGGGCCAGGGCAACAAAAGTAGGGTATGAAAATGCCTTGGAAGCAAGAGGGAGCAATTAAAGACATTAAATGGGGAATGAAAGACAAAAAATTAATTAAGGGTGAATTATTTCATAACCTCTGTCTCCGTCTGTCTTGACATTCTTGATTTTGAAAAAACATTCTTTTCCCTCTCACTCAAATTGCATTAATGCTCCACTTAACATGCTAGATATCTCCCTCTTAGATTATCTGTCTCACACTTTTACATTGTTCAGGGGTGTGCAATTAGAAAAATTTATTACTAGCCCACGGGCTAGTGGAAGCTATAAAGTTACCAGTCCCAAGTAAAAAGTTACTAGCCCAAATATAGGGGCAAAAATTTAAATAAAATGAAATTAATTGTTGAAAAAGTCAGGGTACTGAGTTAATTCTTTTTAAAATTAATGTATAATTCTCACTATTAAATTTTAAAATCGTGTTTAAATTATCATGAAAGAAAATTAAAATGAATTTAAATAAATTATCTTCCCTTTTTCTGAACATTGCACTAGCTGCAGCTCATTTAGAATGAAATTAAATTCATTTTGTTTTCATGATTAATCATAAAATACACTAGAAATATATTTTATGTGTGTCACAAAACACTTACTTTTCAGTTGATTGAGTGATCGTCAATCAGACTTTTGGTGCAGCATAAATATCTTTTGGGAAAATAATATTTGAATTGTACGAAAGGAGGAAAATACACCAAAGGATTGCATGATTAAACTATAGGGATAAAATTGTTACAATTGTTAAATGTCATTCAGATCTATCGCTAACCTATGTGCCCCTTAACTCACAACAGTTGTTCTTGTAAAATATAAATTTATATTTAATTTATCAAATGATTGAACCTTATCTGTTATACAGCCCTTAGTGGAACAAATGGATTTCAAAAACTTGTTTATAGATCAGCTACAGATATTTCCATTTATTTTACTTTCAAATTAAAAAATATAATAAATCAATGTATTTTTAAGTTAATGGATTTTCTACGTCATGTTTGCATTAAGAAAAAAAATACAATTTCTTGCTCAGCACATAATTAAAGGAATTGACTTTCAACAAAATTTGGGTTGAAAGCGGCACTCAAATGGAAATAATTTTTTTTAAGTCTATAAAATCATCACACTTGATTCATTATGGGAACATAAGATTATATGTATTATCTTTACACTCTGTGTGTCCATGACAATTTTTTATGATTAATATATATATATTTTTAATAGGGATGTCAACGAGTACCTGGTTAACCGGGTACTCGATCGAACGTCCGAGTATCGAATACTAAAATCGGTACTCGGTTACTCAGATGTATAATTTTGAATAGTTCTAAACTTATTTATTAATGCATTAAACAATCGTAAAAATGCTCATTGCACTTGTACACACAGTAATTAGGGTTTCCTACGACTCTAAATGACAGTTATCGCCTGTGGCAGTGTTTATACAGTAATTATCATGACCAAGCACCTTGGGTACCTGGCTTTTCTTGACCTAGGCTGTCTTCTTCCCTTATTTTTTGCTTGGCTTTAATTATTTGTTTTCACTGAACATCGTTTAAGATCCATTATGTTTAAATAAATTAGATAATTTTGTCATTTCTCCGAGAAGGGGTAAATTCTCGGGAAAAAAGCGGATGATATTACACGTGTGATATTACATGCCAATTCAACTGGTTGAAGGCAAAGGCTTTACGTAAAAAAAAAAACTGATGTCCATCGTTGCACCAAACTACAAAATACCGTACCGTAATATTATAAAGCCTAGGATCGAAAAAGTGTACGAAAATCATAAATCCGCTCTGTTAGGAGAACTTGATCAAGTTCAAGTTGATACTGTACGTAGCTCTGAAGACTGATACCTGGTCGTCAAACGCGACAAAGAGTTACATTACAATTGCGTAGCAGATTATTTTTTTAAAAACCAAAGTACTGTGAACAAATTATAATTTTAATTCCTGTGTTTATTTGATAAATAAATTAAATATTAAGTATGTTATATTATAATTTCGTCGGGCACGAAGTGTTCATCATTATTATGACAGAAATACATTCACGGATAGGTCTCCTATCAGTGCATCTGATTTTATTTCTACAATAGTTTACATATATTTACACTTTTACCGAGTACCCGGGTACTCGATCGGGAAAACGTCCGAGTAACCGAGTATTAAAAATCGACCGATTTGACATCCCTAATTTTTAATATACATATATAACAGCTGCAGATCTGTAGCTCTCTGGTTTGTCTTTCCAAATTCTTTTCAACCCAAGAGCTACAGATCTGCAGATAATGTTACAAGACCAGTTGATCCTGACAAGCCTATAGCCTGTCCCTCCTCTACCCTATGAGTGTATTCGATTAAGACAACCCGTGTCGCACTAGTGTTAAATATGCGCATGCTCACTGATTGAACTCTAGTGATCTAAATAAAACATCTCGTGTTGTTTAGTGTTCATATAAATATGGCGAGGAAAACAGTATATTCCCTGTATTTTTGGTCTAAACAGGACAAACAACTGATTAACAAACAATATCCAATAAAGAATAGCAGATAATTTAATACAAGACCTCAAAGCTGAATTGATTGTTCAACAAATGTATTTTTTACAGTTATGTCTTTCACTAATTAACAATTTTCAATTGTCAATGAGTACATGACTAATGAGGAAAACTTGTTTTCAAATTACATTAAGAATTATTTTAATTAAAAAAAAAAATTAAGATAGTAATTTTTTTTAACATTTATAAATTATTTTTAAAAAGTTGATTTTAATAAATAAAAATTTCTGTTTTTGGTAGAAAATATTTACATTAACTAAACTCTCATTTTAGTTGTATTTCGGAATTTAACAATTGTCAAATGGAAATATTTTCTACCAAAAACAGAAATTTATTTATTAAAATCAACTTTTTAAAAAATAATTTATAAATGTTAAAAAAAATTACTATCTTAATTTTTTTTTTTTAAATTAAAATAATTCTTAATGTAATTTGAAAACAAGTTTTCCTCATGACAGTTATAACATGTATTTTATAGATTATTTATCCTTGCAATATTATTTAACAAGTCAATACCTCCTCTTGTTAAATTAAACAAGAGGCCCATGGGCCACATCGCTCACCTGAGAAGCTTTGACCATTCTGTTCTTTATGAGATTTCCCCCTTGTTATACATAATGCATCCCCACACTACCCCACTGATCATAATTTAGACATTATGAAATCTACACTACCCCATGATCCTTCCATGGGCACATATGTTTCAGCTTTTTTGGTCCAGTGGTTCCTGAGAAGAAGATTTCAAAGATTTTTCCTATATATTTCTATGTAAAACTTTGATTCCCCATAATGGCCCCGCCCTTCCCCCGGGGGTCATTATTTGAACAATTTAGTATCTACATTATACCAGGATGCTTCCACATAAGTTTCAGCTTTTCTGGCCCAGTGGTTCTTGAGAGGAAGATTTTCAAAAATTTTTCCTATATATTTCTATGTAAAACTTTGATTCCCCATTGTGGCCCCGCCCTTCCCCCGGGGGTCATTATTTGAACAATTTAGTATCTACATTATACCAGGATGCTTCCACATAAGTTTCAGCTTTTCTGGCCCAGTGGTTCTTGAGAGGAAGATTTTCAAAGATTTTGCCTATATATTTCTATATAAAACTTTGATTCCCCATTGTGGCCCCGCCCTTCCCCCGGGGGTCATTATTTGAACAATTTAGAATCTACACTACCCCAGGATGCTTCCACATAAGTTTCAGCTTTAATGGCCCAGTGGTTCTTGAGAAGAAGATTTTCAAAGATTTTTCCTACATATTTCTATATAAAACTTTGATTCCCCATTGTGGCCCCGCCCTTCCCCCGGGGGTCATGATGTGAACAATTTAGAATCTACATTATACCAGAATGCTTCCACATAAGTTTCAGCTTTTCTGGCCCAGTGGTTCTTGAGAAGAAGATTTTCAAAGATTTTTCCTATATATTTCTATGTAAAACTTTGATTCCCCATTGTGGCCCCATCCTTCCCCCGGGGGCCATGATTTGAACAATTTAGAATCTACACTACCCCAGGATGTTTCCACATAAGTTTCAGCTTTACTGGCCCAGTGGTTCTTGAGAAGAAGATTTTTTAATGACCCAACCCTATTTTTGTCTTTTCTTGATTTTCTCCCCTTGCGAGGGGATATGTCCCTTCAGTTTAACAATTTAAATTCCCCGTCACCCAAGGATGCTTTGTACCAAGTTTGGTCTAAATTGGCCCAGTGGTTGTTGAGAAGAAGTCGAAAATGTGATAAGTTTACAGACGGACGGACAGACAGACGGACGGACGGACGGACGGACGACGGACAAAATGTGATCAGAAAAGCTCACTTGAGCCTTCGGCTCAGGTGAGCTAAAAAGTAGAATAAGAATGTCTTCACATACATACATGTCAATAGTATTAAATATAATAGTGACGTGCCATCATGTTTGAAAGGGGGGGGGCAAGCCAGAGAAAGAAAACGAAACTCCTATTTACTTGGAGGAAGGGGATGTAATGCCCACTTCCTTCAGTACCAAATGCTATTCATACAATACGACTTGACCCTTGATTGGCTTTACTGTAACAAAAAGAGAGAGGAAGCTATCGGTGGTCTTTCAATGAAGATTTTTTAAACGTAAAGAGATGTTTGGAAAAAGAAGTGTGGGAAGCGCTTCCACCAGCTGCTACGTGCTTGTATTCTCTATCTATCCCGCCAACCCCCCCCCCCCCCCCCCCAGTAACATTTTACACGGGGCACAATAATTGGTCAGAAAAGTACCATAGCTGACATTTTTCATTTATAAAGTGCAAGTCATAGGATGTGAGAGACAAATACTTTTACATAAAATGTGACGTCGGTTGGAAAGAAAACTTAAGCTAATGTGTTTTTCATGGTCTTACATGGCTGTGGATTTTAATTTTGAGTCTGTAAAAATAATGTTCAATATTTCAACTAAACGCGTGAAAATGTTCAATGATCATTACGATAGTAATTAAAGGCTGAAAAGGTATTTCTATATACTTATAACATTTATTGTAAAAAAAGAACCAGTTGGTTCTGGGGACCCGACCTCCATATTTCTAAGATTTCACTGTAAGGAGAATAAAATCGCAGAATTAATTTTGGTCTTAGGTGTAAGTTCTTTTGTAAAACGGGCCCCCTGATTTTAAAATTGTCAATTAGATGCATATTGATTTACTAAAATTATTTTTATAGATTTAACAATCGCAACATAGATATGTCATGTTATTACCTTATGAAGTTAAATGATTATTATTAATAATTCAGTTTAAAGATAATTATACAGGATCAAATGTGAGAGCAATTTCAGTTAATCCAGTCAATCTAACTCAAAAACACCCAAACTTCAAACAAATTGCAACAGAAATGATTCCAGTGGAATTTTGTTATTTATAATATGCCTTTTGATATATCAAAACTCTAGAAAAATATATTTGTCCAAACGTCATTTTTTTCGATTATCATAAAACCCATTATTTGTTAAAAAATGCCAATCAATCTCCATTTGAATAGACATTCTATTAATACATAAAAATAGTTTTGCCAGGAATATGATCTTGAAATGTTTTGACAGTCATGCAGAAATCCGTCTGCAAACTGAAACCGGTGATTATTTCATTAGTTGCTATGGACCCCTGTTCCCATGGCATCAGAAATAATAAAAAAAAAATCAAACCTTGCCAATTCCTTAGTACGGCTTTGTGCAGGGACAAAAATATATAGCTATAGTAGGAATGAATTAGTATTAATAGTATTAATTTGTTAGTGAGGACCTAAATTAATTTTTAAAAAGTTATAGGGGATAATGTAAGCGCAGAAATCCAATATTTTTTTTTTCAAAGGGGGGGGGGGGCATTAAATCTCACAGATGTTAAGTCTCAGAATTTTTTGACAAGCAAACATAAATAAACTAACAAGTAATAAGAATTCAAAATAAATAATAAATAAAAATAAATCTATTACAAAGGATATGTGATTTTATCGATATACCCCGCGCAGTACTAGTATATCACAATTTTTCCTTTCCTTTCCTTTTTTTTGGGGGGGGGGGGGGGTAATATGTATTGTGATTCGGAGGTCTTAAGACCGGTGTTTAGGTGCATATCACAAAGTCCAAAAATTATTTGCGATTTTATTCTTCTTGAAAAGAATTTAGAATGTTTAATGGTAACAATTTCCAAAACAGTTAATTTTCAAAAATTTATAATCAACATAAGTTTTTGGTTTTAGTCGTAAGTTCATTTGTAAAACAGGATCTAGAGGTTCGGGCAATAATTATAGGCAGACAAAAAAAAGGCTGGATTAATTTCTTTATTTAAAAAAAATATTTTTAAAAAACTGTCAATTAAAACAACAGTAATTTTAAGAGGTTGACCTAAAAACTAAAAAAAAAAAATTAAAAGGGGGTGTCAAAATTATATTGCAGACTTTTTTCATTGACGTTGTAAATTTCTAATACAAACACTGACATATTTATGCAGAAACAGTTTTCGCATTAACAATGCGACTTCACCTCCCGCCATTTTTTTTACCTGTTACTCCAGGTAAACTGAGGAGTATACTCGTGTAACACGGGTTGATCACCCGTGTCGAAGATAGGTTGTTTTATTTACAACTCTAGTGACTCGTGTAACCCGTGTCGCTTAATCGAATATACCCTATGATTCTCGTGAGAAGACACACAGCTGCCAGAGAAACTGGGAAGCAGGAAGGATATCTCTCTATCACAGATTATTTTATCATAAACAGCAAGTCAATTTATATAATAACATATATTTTTCCTTTATTTATTCACATGAACATGTATACATGAAATTTGTGGAAGGAATGAGTTCTTGAAAATGAAAGAAATGTTGTAGTCTTTATAAAAAAGTAACTGATTTTTTTTTATTGTACAAACATTTTCTTAAGAGTTAGTGGTCTTTTTAAGTTACAATAAGGAAAAGAATCAATAATTCATTTAGATTTTCAACATGCAATGATTAAATGTGTGGTACTGTATTTAATAGAGGTTCAAATATCTCTTCCCTCATCTGAAAAATCACACATCCACTGATATTTCTTTTTTGTTACGATTTTTTGGCTTTAAAAAATGATGTCTTTGCATTAATTTGGTTATTCTAGAGTTGTAAAGTGCATCCTGACAATCGTGTAGTTATGATAAACCAGCATGTTGATGATGCAATGTTTCCAATATATAAATATCTGTCCCACCTGTCTGTTTACACGGCTACGAAACTCCCTCCTTAACAAAAGAGCGCACCAAAGGAGATAATCTTGAAACTTGCATTTTTCAAGGTCAAGGTATTTCATGGCATGGCCTTAATCTAACATGTCCAATATCACTACTTTTAACTTTTTTTTCCAATAAAATTTCTAAAAATGGCACAAAGGGTTACATGGGTTATTGCTATAAAATTGGAAAATATACATTATCACTGGCAGATCCAGTAATTTTGTAAGGGTGGGGTGGGGGAGGGCAGTAGAAGGCAGGGAAGTCTGGTGGCTATACTGAAGCCCCCAGTGGGTCTCAGGAAAGGTCCTTTAGGGGGAGATATAAATAAATATAAATAATGGACATATAAATTTTACATACAAAAATATCAAACCGGGGGGTGTGGGGTGTGGGGGGGGGGCATACCTGGAGTGCTGGCCCTGCATGGTTCCGCCTTTGTTAATTGACTGAGTTTGAAGGGAACAAGCATAAGTAAGTAAGTAATATTGCCAAAAGCCCATAAGGCATAACTTGTTTTTAAAAACACTAACACGGTTAATATAAAATTATCCTAAAATCATAAAGAGGTATGGGAAAACTTCATTTATAATATCTTATTAATCACATTTCAAATGTCTATAGGTATGGCAGATAGAAATAAAAACATGATAATAAGTTTCCTTGTCTAATTTCTATCTATTAACATGATTTAGGTACAATAATTTTTAAAATAATTATTAGCTACATGGTGCAAATGCAACAAAAATTATATATTTTCTGATTCTAATTTATTTCTTATCATTTACAGGTGTGTGTGTTTATATCCTGTTTGTGCCAGGTAAATGAAAATAACAGGTGCTCAATGGTCATCAGGAAACACAACCAACGAGCGATAACTCGTACAGATAGCGTATGTAAACAAACATTAGTATCTGCCGTCATCTGGGGATATTACCATTTTTCTTCAATATATAACCAAATCAATTATTCATAGATCACAATTTAAGTTGGGGATAAGTATAAAGTAGTTTAATTGTCAACAGTTTGACGTGTGTGCAGTCGCCCGAGACGATGGGGGTAGCCTTACTTACTCTGTATTCTCGGTTAAAGCCGTTTCCTGCGGGATCCTCCTCTTCAATTAAATCGTCCACGTGAGTGATGAACTTTTCCAGGGCCTGACGAAGCTTTTTAGCAGGGTCATCCATCCTTTTTTCAGCTTGATTTCTTCTGTGCTATTATTGACTCGTTCATTACGGAAGTTTAATTTCGTGTATCACGTGACCCCGATCCCGACAGATATTCTATTTTCTTTTCAATTCCTGTTTCGAGCAACGTTCAAAAGCAAGATAAATATATACACACTGACATAGGCATAAATAGTAAAGGTTATTTTCTTCGTATTTAGTCCTTTATAAGATCGAAATAAACTTATTGTTTGTTTGGAATTGCCTCCCGCCTCATTAAAATGCCCCTCCTGAAAAAAATGGCCAAAAGTAAGAAGATTATCATTTAATCAGTTCTTGGCCTATATCACATGCACTGTCAGATATGTGCAGAATTTGGATTCTTTGTTGATGTTAGATACTTTTTTTTCAAAAATCAGAAAATGTTTGCTTTTTTACTTTTATTGAGATTTTTATTAAGCAAAATCTTCAATTTAAAATATCAATAATAATAATTTCCCCCTTTCCCTCCTGTATGGGATGCCATATATACGACAGCCATCTGCTTACTGCCAAACATATTTAAATAAATTTAATATATTTTATATTGATATTTATATGAATTTGAAAAAAAGGATATTTTTTTTCAAGAGGGTCACCTTGTTAAAAAAAAAAATCCAACCCAGAAATCTTGACAATAAAAAAACGTATGTACATACTCCTTTCCTAAACATGAAAAATTATTTCGACGGTTCGACCGGGGGGGGGGGGTGTTCTTATGCTTCATATCTATGACATTTTGCATACCAACTTAATTAACATGGACCCGCGTTTTGTTTTTTGTTTGTTTTTTTTTTTTTCGGGGGGGGGGGGCAAGGTTCCTTTTCAGTTGGTTTAGTTTATACATTAAATAACTTTTAGTTGGTTTAGCTTGTACATTGAATAACTTTACAAATACAAGTAAAATTGGGCTGAAAACATCACCAGATTTTTAAATACAAACGAAAATGGATTATTAAATGACCAATATGTATTATCTTATGTAATGTTCGATATACTGAGTATGCGATTGATAAAGTGATAAAGCACATTTTTTTTTATTTCAAATTGGTAATAAAATGACTATTTTCTGTTTTACGTCTTTAAACAAGCCCCCCCCCTTCCCCCGTGAGACAACAAAACCTTTGGAGAGAAAAAAGAAGAAAAAAAGGATTTGTTGCTTCGAAGAGAAAGATGTTTTGAAAAAAAATTACATTATCCATAAATTCTATAGTCAAAAATTTCCTCAAATTAAAAATGTATATCTCTTTATGTTATAAATTTTCACATGCATATAGACATTAAAATGTGTACAACCCTTTTTACGTAACTATAAACTAAACGAACTAAAACTGACCACGTTGCACGGACACACACACCCCCCTTTGAAAAACAGCGTTCCGTATTAAGTTGGTATGAAAAGTCATATATGAAGCATATAAGAAGCCCCTCCCCCGAATTAATTTTTCGCATTTAGGAAAGAAGTGAATGTGTTTTTCCCTTTTCAAGTTTCTGAGTTGGATTTTTCATTCAGGGGTTGAACTACCCCCCCCCCCTCTGAAAAATTCCTGGATCCACGCGCTTGGTTTTTTGACAATTCACATAATTACCAATATAAATATGAAAATTATTCAACTATGTGTGGCAGTTTGCAGTCAGCAGTTGGCAGTGGGCAGCCAGCAGTTGGCAGTGAGCAGTCAGCAGTTGGCTGTCGCATATGGAATTCCATACTCCTGTGTCTGAAATCCTTCAGGCGTTAATTCCAAACAAAAATTTTTTTAAGGATGGCCTAGTAAGTATTATTACTTCAAAAGAGTAATTGTTCAATGTTATATTATATTTTATTTATTATTTAGTTAAATTTCTTTCACAAATAAAACGTTCTTATTTTTCTTCAACACAGTTTCAAGCAAAGTTTGATGCATCCGCATATAATTCTACATGCAGATACTTGTAACAGACAGCGATATAAAGCTCAAAAGTCAAAATATTTAATGCAGATTGGGTTTATTTATAATGCAAACTATCTAATGAAGTAAATAATTATGTACTTGTAGGTACACTATTTCTTCTTTATCTGTCTCACAAGTCAATATTCTTTAGTGTCACATACAATGTAGCCACTTTTCCCCCTATTTTGTCGTTATAAAATACACATGAACATTTTCATTCAATATAACGAAAAAGTTTTAAAATACTATTTTCTTTTCTTATGTTTCAAGTATTCCATTGCCATCTCGTTAAAACAACAAACGGGAACAAAAAAATAATGAAGGCATTTTATTTTCTATCCGTTAGTCAAACAGTCCAAAGCCATCATCTCCTGATTCTGACGGACGTTTTCCCTTTTCTTCCAAAGAAGCAGCAACTGACAACCTGCCGAGATCTTTCAAGTATTTCTTGGTCTGCAAAATTAAGCACAAATTCTTAAAACCTACTGAGTATTTAAGATACAAAACTTCTAATCAAGTACACTAAACACCATCGCTTCTATACAGTTGTTGTGACAGTATAGGTCATATATGTAACCAACAATTTTTTTAATTCAAAATAAACGAAAAAAATATGTTCTTAACCTTCTCAGCCTCTGGAAAAGTGTAGTCAGTTTCAACAGCAATGGCCAGGAGCCTCTTGAAACCATTAACAACAGCGAGGGAAACAGAGGCAGCCGAGGGGTACCCGTCAACACGAGAGAGGCCGGTGATATCCCTTACCTTCTAAAATAGAGAGGGGTAAAACGACTGGTTTATATATAAGTATATGTATATAGCAAATAAAATTAGAAGTTTATAAAGATCATTCCAAATGCTGACTGCATGGCGAGCTCAGTTTTCTATAGGTCTGCAATGTGGGGAAAGTAAACTCTCTCTTGACTTGAAACTTGGTAATTACCCGGGTATGACAATGCAGATTAATATAATTGTTATCTTTGATTTAATCATTAATATTGTCCTCATGTACCATGTATTTTAAATGGTTTTGAGAGAATAAATGAACTTGAACTTGAATCATCTATGTGTGAAAAGTTTTAGTGAAACAAAATCAAAGCCAAAGGATAAAAGAAGTTACAAACTTACACAAGTTTTGGAAATCGTGGTGACATCTTTATTCAATCGATATCAAAAACTCAAGGGATTTTTTACTTGAAAAGACGTTCATAGTAATCTAACAGCCAAACTTTATGATAAACATGACTTTTTACTTTTCATTCGTCAACTTCCCTTACTTATGCAGCAATACCTCTTTGAACATCATCTGCAAACTGGGTTTCTATCTCTCAGTTGAATCGACACAAAAAAGCATGCTCTACCTATGTACAATTTCTGAAACGACGGACGTAAATTATTGACAAAAAAGTTGATGAGAGAAGAATATCAGCACTCTTATTTAAAGTCATCATTTCGTAACTTCTGTGATCGATACAATGACCTTGTCAGCAAATTCAATTCATCATTGAGTCAAATGGTGACTGACACTTTTCCGTTATTTCGCGATCATGACAAGGAGTACACGGCGGGTGTGACCGGTCTACATGGGATGCTTGTTCCTCCATGGCACCTGATCCCACCTTTGATGTTTTGAAGCTTTGCGTTTGTTCTGCTCCTATGTTATATTGTTTTATGGAAAATGAGCTTAAATACTGTTCGTTATATCCATATATTTCATACAAAGAAACATGTATTTGACTGTATGGAGTTTGTTGTCTTTGGAACTAATCGCAGAACATTCTTATACGCTATTGAAAGAGGGTGATGAAAATATTGTAGGATTTTGCCTAAGATGATGAATATATTATCCGTGTAGTATTTATATGCATGCCGTTTGTATTTATCTGTAACAGAAATACAACATGTACAAAGCGTGGACTGAATTTAAAACTTATGACAGAATCCAAGACCTAATTTTTAAAATGAAGAATGTTACTGAAGTTTAGAGCATCAATACCTCTGATATTACAGGAAGTGCGGTGCTGGACTTTACGGATATGCTAACATCCTCGAAATGGCCTGTAGTAAAGATCTGTTGAATGTCAGTGTGTGTTTCAGAATACGTCTCAGCAAAATCCCATGCACGCAACGATTCTAGTCTATCAAAGTGGGCCGAGACTTGAGCCACCATTTTGTGTTGTGTAATGAAGAGTTGCTTTTCTGAGCCATTCTCCAGAACAGAGGAAAGTAAGTTTTTTGCTTCTTTTACTGTAGTGATAAACCGCTCTAGCTCATCTGATAAAGTATCAATATTGTCAGTTTGTTGTGTATGAGCGACATCAAAACGTTTCAGCCACTGAGCATGCCCTTCGTCTATCAGTGCTTTTACTCTCCATACTTTCTCTTCCACATTTAGACATATTTCCTCCTTTTCTTTGTTCAGTCTTCCCTTTTGCGTCATATTTTCAACATGTATTGCAGCCAGATTATCTAGTAAACCTGTCAATGATTCCATGGTATTTCTTACTTTATTTTTATTAAGAAACAATGCAACATCTTCTATTGATTCTACACAAGAACAGCGCCTATGCTGTGTTGCAAAACATACGCTGCAACAGATTTTGTTATGGTCTAAGCAAATCACTTCCACAAGTTTTTCTTTATGAACACTACATTGTTCTTCGACATCAACAGGTTCGCTCCACTTAAGTTTACCAGGTAAGCAGTAGATTTTATGATTTCGGAGGAGAGGTACTTTTTGATGAATACGATTACAATCGTCACAGATAGGTTCAGCGCATGTTTTACACCAATGTTTTGCCAACACTGTAAGATTCTCTCGTCTACAGAAGAGACAGTATTTATTTGCTTCACTCTCTGAGTTTACTGACATTGTCAATATCCATTTATTAATTGGTAAATTTTTTACCCATTCTTCGCTAGAAATTCCTTTTCTCGGTTCCACGGTTAAAATTCGGCAAACGGGACACTCTATGAAATTCCGAGTATTTTGTCCCAAACGGGCCTCTATACTAGATATGTAAGTTTGAATGCAGGCCTCACAGAAAGTATGCAAACACGGTAAATACTTAGGAATCCTAAACTGCTCCAAGCAGATCGGACAACGGAATGATTCACCCTCAGTCTGCACACTCCCCGACTGTGCCATATTCTCATGATTAATTTACCGCCGATTTGATCATTATCCACTTTCTTTTTGTGTACAAATACCATCACCGGTACGGGTCACAATTACAAAGTTAACTATGTATGAAACATAGAGATAACGAAAGTATTCAAGATCAACAAGATGTGTTTGTGAAACACAATGCGCCCGGGGGCAACAAAAATTTAAAAAGCTATTTTAAGCATACTTGCATAGGTCACAGACAAGGTCACCAGGTCATTGACCTTGAAGTCATTGGAAAGAACTTGATTAGAGGAGTATGCACACCAAATATGAAGTCTCTCTCTTTTATGGTTCAAAAGTTATGGCGAAGGTTAAGTTTGCAGACAGAAAAGCTATTTTTAGCATATACGTCACAGTCAAGGTCACCAGGTCATTGACATTGGTGTCATTTGAAAGAACTTTATTATTTGTGTAGTATGCATACTAAATATTAAGTCTCTATCTTTTATGGTTCAAAAGTTATGGCGAAGGTTAAAGTTTGCAGACAGAAAAGCTATTTTTAGCATATAGGTCACATTCGAGGTCACAAGGTCATTAATATTAGTGTCAATTGAAAGCACCTCATTAGTGAAGTATGCATACCAAATATGAAGTTTCTACCTTTCATGGTTCAAAAGTTATGGCGAAGGTTAAAGTTTGGGGACAAACAAACAAACAAACAAACAGACAGACAGACAGACAGGGCAAAAACAATATACGCCTTGGATCTATCGATCCGGGCGCATAAAAATCTGCGCATAAAATAATACAAAACGGGAGCAGAGCAAACACGGACCCCCAAAACATCAGAGGTGGGATCAGGTGCCATGGAGGGGTGAACATCCCCTGCCGATCGGTCACATCCACTGTGTGCTACTTGTCATGATCGGGGAAATTCAGTGTATAAATAATTGACTAATAATTAGTATGATAAACGTCAGTCAGCATTTGACTCCATGATAAACTGTGTTTGCTTATAAATATATACGTTTTAAATGCAAAATTCCATTTCCACTTAAATTATTACGCCTCTCCAGTAGGAATTCCTTAAAAATATTCGGCCGCCCTCTCCAGCCTGAGTTGACATTTCAGAATTGGGTCGTCGATGCAAATCTTTTTTATTTTATTCAAGAACACCAGACCTGCAAATGTTATAGTTAAACAGAGATCTATATATGCGTAGAATAAAATAAATGTGAATGTGTCCCGGAGGTAGTAAAAAAAAAAAGTCCTTCGGGAGATAGAAAATAACCCTCTTTTTTTTCTAAAGATGGCCTAATGTATATGGTCATAACTTAAGGGACTCTGACCCTCAGCTAGGAAGGACAACTCTTTAATTTATAATTTAATTCAAAAAATCTTTAAATGAAGCTTGACAATTTTAAAAAATTTTTTCATGCAAAAATTTTCATTATATGCCTCTCAATGTGCTTCAAGGTTCTTTGCAAAGCTCCATAAATCACATCTAATTTTTTATCATGTTACTAATCATTGGTCTCTAAAAATGCTTTTGCGGGATAAAAATTAATTAGACCTCTCTCAGAAGTTCAAAGAACCTTGAAGCACATTGAGAGGCATATAATGAAAATTGTTGCATGAAAAGATTTAATTTCCAAGCTTCATTTATAGACTTTTTGAATTAAATTATAAATTAAAGAGTTGCCCTTCCTGGCTGAGGGTCGGAGTCCCTTAATGAATTGTCCACGAATATAATCCCAAATTCCGCTTCTATTTTTTATTATTTCATGGACTTTTGATCTTGAATACTGTTCGTTACCTGAGTATGTTTCAATGTACACTATATATTTAATATATAACAGCGGATGTGACCGGTCGGCAGCGTATGTTCCATGGCACATGATTCCTCCTTTGATATGTTAAATACCCATACACAGGGTAAGGGAACACAAAATGCATTTTCAACTAATCAGTAATATTCAGCAATAATCAGTAGTGCCCCTACCATACATGAACCCCGGACCCTTAGGCCTTGATATTTGATTAATACCAAGGAGCAGATTTCAAACCATTCATTCTTTTTCAGTATATAAGTACAACCCCCCCCCCCTCTATGGTACCCCTGACCCTGGGGCCTTGAAATTCACTATTGTGGAAGATATGGGCGCTTGTCCATCATAACTCTATTGGTAGTTCATCTGCTAAATACCCTGGAGCAGAGAAGAAAATTTTCAAAGATTTAATGTATTTTCACTATATAATCAATAGAGCCCCGCCCTAACACCAGAACCCCTGACCCTGGGGCTATAAAATTCGCAATTATGGAAGAGGCACTCTTGCTCATCATAACTATTAACTTAGTTTATTTATTTCCTAGGAGCGGAGGAGAAGATTTTCAAAGAATTCAGGTATTTTCACTACTAGTATATAATCTATAGAGCCCCGCCCTAACACCAGAACCCCTGTCCCTGGGGCCATAAAATTCATAATTTTGGTAGAGGCACTCTTGCTCATCATAATTATGCGCTTAGTTTATTTAAAACCCAGGAGCAGAAAAGATGATTTTCAAAGAATTCATGTATTTTCACTATATAACTAATAAAGCCCCGCCCTAACAGTAGAACCCCTGACCCTGGGGCTATAAAGTTCACAATTTTGGTAGAGGCACTCTTGCTCATCATAACTATGCACTTAGTAAGTTTATTTAATACCTAGGAGCAGAGAAGAAGATTTTCAGTGAATTCATGTATTTTCACTATATAATCAATAGAGCCCCGTCCTAACACCAGAACCCCTGACCCTGGGGCCATAAAATTCACAATTTAGGTAGAGGCACTCTTGCTCATCATAACTTTTTACTTAGTTAGTTTATTTATTTCCTAGGAGCGGAGGAGAAGATTTTCAAAGAATTCAGGTATTTTCACTATATAATCTATAGAGCCCCGCCCTAACACCAGAACCCCTGTCCCTGGGGCCATAAAATTCATAATTTTGGTAGAGGCACTCTTGCTCATCATAATTATGCACTTAGTTTATTTAAAACCCAGGAGCAGAAAAGATGATTTTCAAAGAATTCATGTATTTTCACTATACTAGTAACTAATAGAGCCCCGCCCTAACAGTAGAACCCCTGACCCTGGGGCTATAAAGTTCACAATTTTGGTAGAGGCACTCTTGCTCATCATAACTATGCACTTAGTAAGTTTATTTTATACCTAGGAGCAGAGAAGAAGATTTTCAGTGAATTCATGTATTTTCACTATATAATCAATAGAGCCCCGTCCTAACACCAGAACCCCTGACCCTGGGGCCATAAAATTCACAATTTAGGTAGAGGCACTCTTGCTCATCATAACTATCTACTTAGCTAGTTTAATACCCAGGAGCAGAGAAGAAGATTTTCAAAGAATTCATGTATTTTCACTATATAATCAATAGAGTCCCACCCTAACACCAGAACCCCTGACCCTGGGGCCACAAAATTCACAATTTAGGTAGAGGCACTCTTGCTCATCATAACTATGTACTTAGTTAGTTTATTTGATACCCAGGAGCAGAGAAGAAGATTTTCAAAGAAATAATGCATTTTCACTACCTACTTATTTAGCCCCGCCCTAGCACTAGAACCCCTGACCCCAGGGCCATGAATTTCACAATTTTGGTAGAGGACTCATTGTTGATTACAATCATGCAAACAGTTTGACTGCTTAAAGTCCAGGAGTAAAGAAGAAGATTTTTAAAGATTGCACTAATTTTAGTAGTTTTGGCCCCACCCTACAGGCCCCAGGGGGGCAGGGATCATGAAATTCACAATTTTTGTTTCCCTTTATCCATAGATGCTTTATGCCAAATTTGGTTGAAATTGGTTCGGTGGTTGCATAGAAGAAGCTGAAAATGTTCAAATGTTAACGCACAACGCACGACGACGGACGAAAATAGATAGCAATAGGTCACCTGAGTTTACTCAGGTGACCTAAAGATTGTTTATTTTCACTTAAATTGTCCTAATTAAATATAAAAAGAAATATCAAAGATTTCTTTTATATGTGGAATAATTCATTCATTTGAATTCCAAACGTGTAAAATCACCATCCATAAAAGAAAACCATTCACCCGAAAAGAGGTCAGCTTTATATAGATTACACAGAATTGCAGGTAGGAATCTTGGGTACGTTTCTATACTTTTTATGCAGATAACGATCCATATAATAGAGAAAATATTCAAGGAGGACTAATCCATATATTTAACGCCAGGTGTAATTTTTATTACAAAAACTTTAAACTTCATCATCGCTTTTATCATGAAAGTAAAGGTAAGGTTATTTTTATTTCGGAAAAGGAAAGGTCTTCAATTTCTAGGTATTGTTGGGCCTCATCTGAGAATATACGCAATATTATCTTTCATCCATAAACTCAAGAAATATATGTACAGCATACATGTATAAACAGACACTGTACACAGCTGAGTTATTGCAATGTACATGATGACCCTTAGAGTCAATAGAGTCTTACTTATTAATTATTGGATGAGATGATAAGAAAACAGCTATACCTCTGTTAGCATGGTTAAGGACAGATGATACAAACTTTAAGAAAATGAAAATTACAGCTCGGGTCATGCTCAATTGAGTATAAAATGAATAACTTTCACCGCGTAGTTTTCATTTTTTTATTCAAATTTTCACAAAAATGAAATTTGAAGTGAAAAAGTCTAAAGATTTTTAAGGATGGTTTCAGAAGGGCAGACTTTTGGACATCAGAGAAGGTTAACAATTTCTTTATATTCTAGAAATTTATTATTTACATCATTTGCAATGAAATTAGGCCAAAACATATATACCATTCCTGCATCCATTTTTTGTTTGTGTCATCTGTCCTTACGTGGTTCTTTAATTTCTCTACAGGAATATTCGTCCTTTCTGGGTCACTTGTCTTCAGAGACCACTTTAGCAGGAACTACGATAGCAGTGTTGACAATTCTAGTCTGCATTCTGTTAAAATGTTATGTAACAAAGAAAACCCGAGGTTAGTATTCTCATGTTCTCAATATATAATGCTAGTAATTCAGGTAATAATAATACAGGTAATCGAGTTATAGAAAAGCCAGGTTGTATAGTGAAAATCTTATTTCATCAGATGATGTGTACGACCTTCCGGCAAATATTTTTTCTCTTGATTTTGCAGAAGATCCTGGTGGTAAAGCAAAACAAGGCAGGCCATCCAAATATTTCCTAACAGTATTCAGTCTATACCCAGCTCCTTGGAATTTACCCATCACCTTAAAATCCATTTGTAAATATATAGGAATCTTTCCTCTCAAAGCATTCAGCGTCTTTTAAATCATTATATATAAATATATAAGAAAATCTGTCCAATATATAAGCTCTCCATACATGATTCAGTTTCTTTCATGTCTTAGAGATCTATCCATCTCCTATAAGAGGAATTTTTCAAATAATTCTTGTCCTTATAGATTGAAATATATTTAACGGTATCTGGAAGCATTGAATAGATATATTTTTGAGAAGATATATATTTGAGATCGATCACTGTTTATGTTAACCAAAGTACCAAAAAAATTTGGGCTGGGAAATTAATAATGAAAATATATGTACTTGTTCTTATGTGAAAAAGTCATAAATGTAATTATATTCATTCACAATTTTATTGTAGTCACTCCTCAGACCCACAGATCAGTATTGGAATTAGATATTACTGAAGAAACAGACTCCAAGACGGGAAAACCTGTCTGCAGATTTTGTATTAAAAAATAAAAGGTCTTCGTCAAGGAGACGTTTCCTTTCTTTCTTTTTTTTTTTCTACTGAAGATGTCCTGCATTACAGAAGAGATAAAATCTAAGTTATAGACGAAATACGAGTATAGAAAAAATTTTAGAGCAATAACTGTTAGAGTTATCTTCACTTTTTTTCATTTGGAATCAATACAAACAATAAGCAAATACATTTTTTATAAAGAGCAATTCTTTGTATGTGGTTTTTGAAATTTTATTATTTTTTTTTTCATTTTGTCTTATTATCGTTTTTAAAATTTATGATTTGAATGATTTAAAGGGGAGGAAGATTTTCCTCTTTTTTCTTTTGTTTTTTATTTATTTTTTTTTTTTATTTTGTTTGTTTGGGTTTTTTTTGTTTTTGTTTTGTTTTTTGTTTGTTTTGTTTTTTGTTTTTTTTTGTTGTTTTTGTTTTAAAGGAAAGGACAATGTATGGAAACGGCCGAATCTGGGCCCTTGTAAAATTATGGACTTATTTCTTCTTGAAATATGTCTTTTTTTAATTTTGAAAAATGAACCATTCAAGTCTTGTTCTGACATTGAAATCCACCTTCGTACGTGTCTATAAAACAGGAATTAGATGCTGTAAATTTCACACATTTCAGTGAATATTTCTTTGGGAAATATAACAAATTTTACAGCAGCTTTGAATAATGAAGCGTTTCATTTCACTCTATTTTATTGATTCTTTACCATTCATTTTTAATACAGTGTCTCGAATAGCCCTTATTTTGCAGCCTCTCACAATGAAAATGAGATGAAAAGTGGTCACATAAATTGATATCAATTTGTTTAAGTTTCAATTTTGAGAAAAAGTCAAGCTTAATGTCTGTGTTGTATGTTATAGAGTTTTTATTTTTATTGCATTCGCTGTGTTTTTCTACTAAGCATTGTGAAAGTGATTTGAAAACCATATTCGTATATATATTCACGCGTAGAAATATACACAGAGAAACGTGCACTAACGTGACGTGACAATGAGGTTACAGCGACGTTAGTAAAAATGCAACGATATAGGGCATCGAGAAATTCAAACATTGAGTACATTTTTTATGCTTTCAAACATGTAAAATATAAATATAAGGAATTGTTACGGGATTCTTTTGATTTCTTACTTCTTTAATTGAAAAGATGTTGTAGTTTCATAGAATTTATTGGAAGTCTATCAGTCATCAATTGCAAACATATATGCATAGCAAGGCACAGCATAAATTAATAGGTATCCTTATTCAGGATCAAAACTATTATTCAGGAATGGTTGCCTTATTCAGGACTTTTACTTGGCATCTATTTCCTTATCCAGGAACTATGGTTCTTATTCAGAACACTCGAGCCAACAGACTCACAAATTAACAAAAATCATGGTTTATATACAGGTATAATGATCACGTGATTAAATCAAAGCGACATCTATACATAACAACAAAGAACTATAATCAAGACATGAAATAAACATTGAAAGTTATTAAACATATTTTCTATAAAATCACAAAAGTATTATTGATTAAAGTCTCTATATAAAAAGTCCATAACAGAATGTTTTAAGTGTTGTGCGATTCATTGGTGTATATATCACATAGACTTGCAAGTTGTGTTTCATGAAAAATATGCCTTAGTGCAATTCTGTGTGATTTACACACCAATGAATCACACAAAACTTAAAAAAAAATTCCTTAATTGAACAGCCCTCGTATACTACTAAATCTGACTACTTAATGTTCCATTTACCTGACAAATGCACAGGACTTACGGCAGGTGTGACCGGTGTCGCATAATATTTGGTCCGCCTCGTTTAAAGGTCCGGCCGGACCTAATACGATAACATATTTGGTCCGCCTGGCTCTATAAGAAAAGGTCCGCCCTCGGCCTTTTAAACAAATGTATGTAGTTCATTCGATATTAATTAAAAACTATTCTTTTAAAATTAATTAAGGATATATAGTCGTATTAATAGCTTGTGTTTTCTCCAAGAAAATGTAGGAAACAATAAGTAAGAAAAGAAATTAATACATGTACATAAATAAAGGAATGTATAGATTTATTGATCGGGTTTCCTGTCGGGATGATGGGACATGCTTCTTTTGTCGTTTAAATTAATAAACTAATGTCAACATTATCATAAAAAATATTAAGAATACAGTTGAACATACATTTACCTTCACCGCCTTAAATCCAACACGAATCATAAAGTTACAGTCTCTTTCATATAAACATGATAAACATTTGCCTAATCCACTCACAAAAACTAAAGTTCACATCTTTCTAAATATATTTCTTTATAGTATTAAGAAAAGAAATCTGTCATTCTTTACGTTTAATATTGTTGTAAATAACTGGAGGGTCACTAGCTGTGACAGGGGCTTATGTCACGGTGTACTACCCTACACCCCTAATTGTAATCAAAGTACTCAGAAGTACTGAAAGCCGGGCTCATTTACAGGGTAATGAACAAAGACCGCAGTGACAGTTTAAAAACAAGCTGATTCAGACATTGAAAAGATGATTATATATATCTATATATGTCATATATAGCATTAAAAAGCTTTAAAATTAATATAAATGTAGCTATAATTTAACAGCGTAAAATATTTGTCACATGTATCATTTCGGGGTTTTACATACCAACAAAAGTAAATGAACACTGATGCAGCAAGATTATTTAAGGTCAAACAATTATGCACAGATGGGTCCTCAGCGGGGAGTTTTGTATCAAAGCGTACATCAAGTCATTAATGGTGTTCCCCGCATTTGTATTAGCCTGATAGTACACCCTTTATTTATAGAATATGACGCAGACAGGGATACCTGATGAAAACCTTTCGCATATTTTAACCAAATGATTAATCATTGAAAACGATATAAAGTATTTTATTATAATTATTTTTTGACAATTTCAGATAACTATGAAAGTTTAATTCAGTGTTTGTATTGCCTCAAAGGTGATTGCACAGACGTACTATATTCTAACTCGTAAATTTAATTTGGCGGTGAAGAAGCAGCATTTTCTGTTGCTCACCGTCGCAATAGCCGGGCATTTCTCTACGAGAAATGAGCCCGGCTAAAAACAACATGCCTACAGACTGGGCAGTTGGGGGTTAGCCTATAATTGTTTCGTTTGAGAAAACCTAAAGTAGTACCATGTTTCTTACCAAATCAAAGGCTAATTTTTTATATATACTAGATCTCTGCATTTCATTTTCTGAATTTAACATTGCATTTTCCGACAATTTTTGTTATTTTTTCGGAATCCGACAGTTTTATTTTCATTTCCGACATTATCTACTAGTATTTCTTTTTCTTTTTTTTCACATTTTCGGATTTTTTTAGGATACCTTTACGGCAATTTAAGTTTAACATATATATATAACAAGGATGGAAATATAGAATTTTAACAGGGTATTGTATATATGCATTGTATAATATTATTTATTTCAAATCACGTTTTTTCTAATCATTACATACATTCTGTAATCAATATTAAGACTGGTTAATAAGTAAAGGAAACAGTTATTAATAAGTGAAACTTCACATTCACAATACATGTACCAACATGTACATCTGTTCAAGGGTAAAATTAATTAAGTTTCTTTGACAGCTAAGAGCAAAGTCTTTTATTTGAATAAATTATCTAAAATATTTTATCTTAATTAAGGATTTTCATAACGAATGTATGACTTCTTTTTTCATTGACGAAAAAAGTACTGAAATGAATTTGACAAATGTGAAAACTTTTAAAATGTAAAAACATAAAAATGTCGGAAATGAAAAGGCCAGAAAATTCCGGAAATGAAATTCGACCTACTAAATATTACTCCGGGACAAGGTAAATGTGCATGAATTGGCGAAATCAAACCAAATTAAGTCGATTAATTGCTGGATTTATAAATGCCTTTATTTTTTCATAATTAATATACATATCGCTCATATAAAATCTCTGGGCACTACATTTATGATATATTATTTATACTTATGTCTCTCAGTTTCAATAAAAATCCGAACATTTTATACCCCCTCCTTTTTTTATTATTACATGTTTATTTTTTTCACCTGTCAAAAAAGTTTTAAGTTTTAAAGTATACCGATATTGTACATATAAAGAGCTTGAGTTTAAAGAAACAATTTCAGAAAAGAACGAATGCACTTATGGGCCCTGGTAAAATGTGAAAAAAATAAGCAAAGTTAGTAAATTTTTCATCTCCAATCATTAATTGATCAATCATTAATTGATATCCAAACCATACGATTCAACAAATTTTTTACGATGAAATTCACAAAATATAAAGAACAAAACCATACAATGTGGTAGGGTCAGCCGACTTTTGTGATTTTCTATTAAATTAGTAAAGCCAGATGCAGTACAGAGCGCGGACCTTTTCTGATAACTGCGTTTTAAGGTCCGCCCTGTCCCTTTCTAAAGTTTTCGAGCTACGAAAATAAGCCATGTCCAAAATTTCCCTTTATAACATAAAAATATCTGAAATACTGGGGGCGGACCTTTTCTGATAACTGCGTTTTAAGGTCCGCCCTGTCTATTTTTCTAGTTTTCAAGCTCCGAAAATAAACCCTGTCCAAAACTTCTCTTTATGACATGAATATATCTGAAATACAGAGGGCGGACCTTTTCTGATAACTGCGTTTTAAGGTCCGCCCTGTCTCTTTCTCTAGTTTCTAAGCTATACGAGAATAAACCCTGTCCAGAAATTACCCTATAAAAAATGAAGATATCTGAAATGCAAAGGGCGGACCTTTTCTGATAACTGCGTTTAAAGGTCCGCCCTCTCCCTTTCTCTAGTTTTTAAGCTACGAAAATAAACCCTGTCCAGAAATTTCCCTATAAAACATGAAGATATCTGAAATACAGAGGGCGGACCTTTTCTGATAACTGCGTTTTAAGGTCCGCCCTCTCCCTTTCTCTAGTTTTTAAGCTACGAAAATAGACCCTGTCCAGAAATTTCCCTATAAAACATGAAGGTATCTGAAATACAGAGGGCGGACCTTTTCTGATAACTGCG